CGTGGATCAGCTGTCTGCGCTGCACACAATGCCTACAAAATAACACCGATCTTGCGTTTGTAATGACAAACACTTGCAGAGCATGGCTTTCTTATGTGCAGAGTGTTTGAGACAATGGATGATGCCTACGTTATTGTCCAGTGTATTGTTCCTCTATCGATGCTTTTATACTACATTTAATTTCTCTGCATTTAGCTAGACGGTTACTTGAGTACAAGCTTGTCCGGTAATTTCTTACGAATCAGTACAGCGAAATATCCAAATTTGCGACGTAGTGTAGTGGCAGTTGCCATAGCGCTAACTTCGCGCTAAACGGCTAAATATGTGTTGTCTGTATCTTTACGTAGGAAATTACCGGACAAGCTTGTACAGCACTCGTAGTCTCGTACCGTAAATCGCAAAACGTGCGATCACGGTTAAAATTGGTATCTTTTCCATCAAATCCACTTTCGGAAAAATCCTCAGAATTTATTATTGAAATTTACCAGCTATCCACAATAGTTAACAAAACAAATTACTCAACACCCGATCTCACTCACCCTGCAGACTAGTCCATATACAGCGCGCCGATGCTGGTCGGTTGAGATGGACGCCAACCACTCTGACAACGTGGCGAGCTCTTCCCCACTGGGCCTCGGCACGGCTGCTTCAAGTCCGGCCCAGACCGTTTTGCCAACATCCACACTCGAAGGCAAACGAACCACCGGCAGATTAATCCACAGCTCGACGAGCGTACTGGGGTCTGCTTGGGCAAAAAACATATCGATATCAAATCTGACCAGATGAATGGCATCGCACGGTAGGCCATCGCAAGCTGCGGCGAAATCGACCAGAACAGGGTAAAACGAGAATAATTCAAGGGTCTCCTTAGCGTTGTAGGGATGCATTTTGGCATTTATCATACGGATAATCGACGAAATCCAGGGTGTTCCCGAATCTCGTGGCTAGGTAAGCTCCCACTAAATAGATCGCTCGCAATCGGCTGCCTATTTTCAGCCCAATACAGTGTACCATATGGGTCAACATCACGAAATCGTCGGTGTTTGTCCAACTTTTGCGACCATTCACAATGATGTGTTGTGTAGATTTGCGGAGGCATTTAAAAATGGAAACCATCAAAAAGTAAGGCAGCTGGCGTTTGTCTGCCTCATAGTAATTTGTAACAACAATGCAGGCCGTCAGTACAGGCGATTCCATGATCGAGTTCCACTTAAAACAGACGGCGCGCAATCTAGTTTGCGTTGGAGTATCCAGTTGGGAATATACTTCGAGCAACACGTCCAACGATAGCATATGCAGATCATCAATTTCTTCGTGCTCCACAAACAACACAGCTTTTTCTTCGGCAGCCATCCAAGTTATTTCTCGTATCCATGAAATTACCGTCTTGTAGAGTACATGAATGTCCTCCAGCAAAGTTGTCCGGAAACAAAACTCCTCCTACGGAAACCACACGTAGGTCACGGTAGGTGCATCATCAAAATAATTTGAAATGTTTTCTCATTTCTGTAGAAAAATTAATTTTACTGATCCAACTCACACATATGTCCATAACCAACACTTTAATTTTCGTATTCCAAACATTTGCACAATAGTGGGTTAGCGTTTGCAAACTTCATCTATACACCAAATCTATACATACAAACAGGTGACGTCACGGCCGAACCCACGATGCAGCGATTTGCTGCCGCGCAAACTAGATGTATGCGTGTATGAAAGCGGTGCCAAAAATCCATCCACGTAAGGCCCTTACGTGTAGTCGTGTATGCATGTAACTCCACCCCTTTGCACGCATACGAACACGTAGCTGGACCAGCTGCCAGTTGATCTCGAAATTTCAAACGTTCGTCTTCCATTTTCTTCTCAACGGATCTGGCCCATCGATATACCAAAAGATGTAGAATTAAATTTTAACTTTTTGATAGCTAGCAGGTTATTTATTTATGAATCAAGAAAGTTATGGTTGTTTAGTTTCTCGTAGACTTAACATAGGATGGAAGCAACGCCCCCTCGCACGGCCCTATGCTATGTCTACGAGAAACTAAAACAGCCATAACTTTCTTGATTCGCCATAAATAGTCACCTGCTAGCTATCAAAAAGTTTGAAATTAAATTCTTCATCTTCTGATATGTCGTTTGGCAAGATCCGTTGAGAGATAAACGAAAGATAAGTTTTCCAAATTCTGGAGATCGATTGGCAGATGCCGATCGGCTACTTGTATGTGTACATGCGAGGCTGGCACCTCCGCACACCCGGTCGCTCAAACACGTTGGGAGCCATATATACAAGCCGATTTCTGAGCGGTCCCTACGTCACTTGTTTGTATGCATAGATTTTACAAGTTGTCAACGCACTCCCCGTAATATCATTACCCGTAACAGACACCAGAGACGCGGTACTGCCTTGTTCTACTTGACAAGAGCTTGTCAACAATGGATTGCACAATTGTACACGAGATTAATACAAATTATCCAGTTTTCTAATGTGGAACAACAAAGAGGACACCCGGCCTATGGTGTCCGGTCCGCGAATTAGTACATGTGGAAGTGTCCACTGTCCGGAATGCGATAAGAGTGGAAGTATAGTGTCTGTACGAACAATTTCCTAGTACTGCCAGCGCTTTGAATAGTTTTTTTACTTTTACCTGAAAAGTCCTATCGTTCCGAAAAATGTACCACACGCGACCGCCCTCAATGTTCACGAACGAAATTAAGCCGTTAACAAGCTTGGGGCTTGGGGCGATGACACGCTTTGTCGCTCAAATCCTGGAGCAGTTTATCAACATCCATACGATGGCAGTCTTCCGGCAACGGCAGACTGTGCTTCTCGAAGGTCTCTGGTGCAACGGACTCCGGGAATGCGTTCAAATCGCTCATCGTAAAGCCGTCACCATGCCAGGCAACCGATGGGGACTGGTCGGGAGGCTGTAAACCCATGCTTTTCCACCAGTCGCTCGCCACTCTCCAGCGCAGCCGAAACGATATCGGTATACTGCAATTCACTCCCCCATTGGATAACGGCCATCCGGCCTATACGCCACGAATCGCAGCGGATGCCGCGCATAATATTGACAATTTCGACGGGGAACCACGTCCGCGCACCACCAGGTGACTCGGGCATGAGGGCGTCAACGGGAATTGCCATGTCGGGTTTGGCGCCAACGTACGCCTGGGTCAGGTCGTTGTCTATCATCAGCGACTTGACATTCCGGAAAACGCGATTGAACGGGATGAATTCACGCGGTCTTTCGACAGAGGAAATCGATCAAGAGCCCTGTGTTAATCAAGTCAACCACACGACCAAGGCGGAATAGACCGTCCTCGCCCAACACGTCAAAGGAGTCCAAGAGAGAGCCAGACATCATTGAGGCCTGCAAAAGCCCGAGATCCCTCTGCTCTCAAATACCAACTTTCAGCAATAACACAACAGCCTACTAGAAACCGAAACTATCGTCTATAAAATTATTCTACAATCAGTCGGAATGGAGGGTTGACCGGCTGCGAGCTGGCGCATAATGTCTTTTTGTACGCTAAACAAAACGACGAAAATGATCAGGTTTTTCGTTGACCTGGAAATCCAGTAAATGACGTTCAGCGCAAATTCTGCAGACTGCGTGCTTGCGCAGCGCTCTGAGCGGGTTGGGCTTCTTGTCTCGACAGGTTCAGCTCATGATCAAACGTTCACACACACACCGCTCATTCTGGGGTGGCCGGCGCTCGGCGGTGTCAGTGCGGATAAAGCGCTCGCTGTTGGGCCTAATCCCTTACGGAGCGTCAGTAAAACAAATTTAAAAACGTAATTAATTACCAGTTTGTCTCACTCTCACTGTAGAAAGTGCCGTAACTCTGTACGTATAGAAGTACGGTTTTATACTTTCGTTGTACAATAATGTAGAATTGAAGTTATCCAAGTTAATAAATTTAACAATTACAGTAGTAATTGCGTTTTGACTCTACTCCGGAAGTGTGCCAGCTGCACCAGTTATTGCAGGTATCGAGATTTATAAAAAAAAAAGACAAAAAATACTCGTAGATCTTAATAATTTTCTCCATTACATATAAGCAACAGCCAACCGAATAGCAAAAATGCGGCTGCGGCAACGCTAAAAGACGTTAAAAAATTTGATAGTATATGCACTTCTAATTTTACCTGGTTAGTAAAACTTATGAATAAAATATTTCGCAATCGCCTTCTTTAAAAAAATATTTGTAGGTCATTTTAGTAATTTACAGGATTAACGGCTTTTTCTAACCGTCCAAATTTTGGCAGAATGCGCACAATGTGGCTAGTGTGATTCTTATGTACAGAAAAGTTCTTATGTTCTTTTCCTGTATACGAAAAAGTGTTTTCGGAAGTAATTCTGCGGAAATGAAAGGCCGGTACAGCACCATACTCAAGGGGTTTTTTAGCCTTGGCCGATATATCACATAAGTACTCTTAGTCTTATTGAAAAAGAACCAATAAATGCTGCACTGTCGTTTCGCTACACAACTCATTTAGAAAGAACAATTTTGGGGGTGTGTAGTGTGTACTGGTCGACGGCGACACACCGCCGCTGAATCATTCTCTTTTCTTCATTTAAACTCTTCACAACAACCATGTAACAGAAAACAGCTACAAACCGTTGTCAACAATAATCAATCGACATCAATAGACAAGCCACCGGCAAAATTCCATAACAACCGATAAACTGCTGTCTAAAAGCAGCGCGTTTCCGGTAACTATTGCAAGGTTATTTTCCTTTTTACTGTTACATATACCGGCATATTATGGCGGTTTATTATTCTGTATGTGTAATAGTTATATTCTCATGGTTTGATTCATAAACGCGGGTCTCGTGATCCACTCCACTTGTATGTGTGAACCGTTTGTATTGACATTGACATTTCGCTCGTTTTTCCGCTAGCGGCGGCGCTGAGTCGGTGTATTTTTCCCACTTGAAACGTCAGGCGTTCCACGTACCGCTGGCTGCACACAGTCATGCAAAACATCCGTAAGCAATTGGAGATTAAATTGTTTGTTACACACACGGCTCTATCGGACCAGTCAAGCGTTTAACCGAATGACAGCAGTGTTATTCTGTCGTTAGTGTTACAGTGTTTCCCGTACCGGTGAGAAGAATGTGACTTCTACGTAAAAAATTTTAAACTATCTTCAGGGGAATCAAGGATGATACAATTATTTTTGTTATAAAACGGATATATCAATTCCGGTCTTACTGGCATTTTGAAGTGTGAAGCGGAGACTGTTTGCGATTTGATTTAAAATTACGGAAATTCATGCGAGCGGAATAGCAATTATTGTAATGCTTATATGTTTATTTCCTTGCTGATGTTTATTCTTACGAGAAAATTTAAATTAGGATCATTAGACTGCATCTTGTTTTGATTTTTCAACTTTTTTTGTGTACTAGGAAAATGCTCCGTTTATTCCTTATTACGTTCATTTTGATTTGTTTCTTGTCGACGCGGATAACGGCGAAAAACGTGACGGAAATTATTCTGCCGTGTTCCAGGTGAGAAAAATCAAGTAAACAATGCATCAATATATTAATTATTTCCGGTCGAGAATTTACTACTTGCAATTTGTCAGTAATATTCATTACTTAACTCACATTGTGCAACAAGTGGGCATGATTTATTTATCAATTACTATCACACATAAAATTTTAAAAAAAATTATTATTACAGTCGAATTTATTGCGGTGGGCCGCTATTAAAAGCCATTCAAAGAATGCACCTGTACAATGACTCTAAGACGTTTGTGGATTTACCCATGTTTAATCGAACGGAAGAGGAGATCCTAGAGAATTTTGCTAAAATTGATAACGACACTCTGACCAAAGTTACGCTAATGAACTTTATTATGGAGAACTTTATGGCCTGTGGCGCGGAAATGATGCCGTTCCGACCAGCAGATTACCGGCTGGCCCGGGAGGGCGGCCTGGCGCTGCTTCACGACATTCAGGATCCGGCCGTGCGCAAATTCGCCGCGGTCATCCATAATAAATGGGACGATCTTGGGCGTTACGTAAGTGAAAACAATTTTTCACAATCAAATTTTTAATTTTGTAAGTGTGGCGGTGATTACTAATTTCTGTTATTTTGATGGTCACAAATTCGCAAATAAGTTTTCTAATTTTACTCAATGGGTTATTTATAAAATGGACAAATACGTTGGCTCAAGATAACTGTACTGGATCATTAGTTCTGATGCGCTTGATTAGCTTTGACAATTGGCAGACTGAACAACCAGACAGTCTAGCAACAACAAAGACAGTGATCTGTAATAAACGGTAGTAATCTTTGTTGTCTGTCGCGGAAGTTTCCACGTGCTGAGCAGCAGAGGCCAACTGCGGCCAAGTTACATTAGAGGAAACACAGAAGATGCGGGTTACCTCAGATTTTTCAGCAACAGAAGGAATCTTTTCACACCTTATCTTGCAACTAATTAGCTCATCTGTGTTACGCAGTCTTCCAATAGTTTTTGGTGAAGTGAGTCTATACATTACAGTCTACCCTATACACTTATTGAGCCGTTCAAAATTACGAAAAATCAAAGATTACCAAGGGATTTTCCCAATAAAATAATCATGGACAGCATGTCATAAACAAATAAATAATGACTTTGTTTAATAGTGTGCCACTAACAAATGAATTTTTTTGCATTTATTTCGTATTTCAAACTGCTAAACATTTTACCTTCAGTGTGCAGAATCGGTGGCGAGACATCCGGAACAGCACTCCTTGATATACGTCCCGCATCCTTTCATTATTCCCGGCGGGCGCTTCCGTGAGATCTACTACTGGGACTCCTTCTGGGTTATCCAGGGTCTGATGGTGTCCAATATGGCCGACACCGCACTGGGCATGTTGCGCAACATTGCGCATTTAATCCACCGGTAAACGCTTTATTGCAAAGCCCGCAATCTTTTACTGCATAAATACAAAAATTACTTAACAGATTCGGTCATATGCCCAACGGCAACCGTGTCTACTACCAGAAACGCTCCCAACCGCCGGTCTTCGCCCTGATGGTCGACGCATTCTGTCAGCATCCTAGCGTACCACGGGAGAAGGGTCTGGCCGTGGTGCAAGAGATGCTGCCGTATCTGGAAAAGGAGTATAAATTCTGGATGACCGAACGCCGGGTGGATGTGTCCATACGCGGGAAGATCTACACCATGAACCGGTATCGCGGCGGGATGAACCAGCCGCGACCGGAAATGTACCGGGAAGATGTGGAGCAGGCAGCATTACTCAAAAACGGGCGAAGTAAGGAAACGCGATCAAGGTTCAGCTGTATAACCGCATACCGGGTTCCGGAGTTGGCAGAATTTACGATAGCACATTAAATTAACTAATGCTATTGCTCTTGTATTCAGCTTTAAAAGCATACGAGGAGGATTGTGCTTTGAATCGGCAGCGGTTTAGCTGCTATGAGTTAAGCTGAACACCAGTTACGTAAGCGATTGACGTAACAGCTAACCGTGGATGGTTGCACAACCCAACAGCTGCGGCTGGGAAATGAACAGTCCACTCCACTCGGCTGACTGTTGCGCAAGTGGTTGGTTAGTTCAACCATGCACTGTTGGCTATTACGTTAACGGATTACGGAACTGGTGTTCAGCTTAACTCATAGCAGCGACACAAACCGCTACCGACTCAATCACAAATATTCTCCCCGTAGTAATCGTAGAACACGGGCACAAACGCGGTAGGGTTATTAACCGTTATTGCACCGTTATTCCCAATCATGTGCTATCTCAATCAAATCATTACGCAGTGAAAATGGCTAAGTACCTACGTACTAGTGTGTATTACCTCGTACAATGTTGATTAAACACCACGGAATACGGTTTATAACATCCACTAACGAAAGCGTCACTAAACAACAGTAAATTAAACATATTTTTTTTAAATACTCAGCGTACGTTTCTGCAACAAGATCAAAACCACCATAAGCATAATTTTTACAATATCGGATCCAAACACATTAACCAACAGATGATGCTCATTAAGAACTCTTCCAGCTTGCTTTACGAATTGTTTTATTTTGGTGAACTGCAGTGGCAATCAACGTTATTTTTTTACAAGGTCACGAGGATTTGTACTCTAATATTGCCGCCGCTGCGGAGAGTGGCATTGATTTCTCAACGCGATGGCTGGACAATCAAGATGCCCCGTTCAACAATATCCGCACGAAAACCATTCTCCCGGTGGATCTCAATGCGTTCCTCTGCGCACAGGAACGCTTAATGGGCACTTTCTATGATCTCACTGGTATAAGCCAACTATTTATTTTTTTTAAAAACAACATTAAAATAAATACTGTTGCACAGGTAATGCAAAGAAATCCGCACTGTACCATTCCAAAGCGAAAAGCCGCGGCAGCGCCATGCACGATATTTTCTGGAACGAGGAATTATCCATGTGGCGGGATTATGATCTACAAGAAGGCCGGCAGAGGACTGATTTCTATTTAAGCAGTATTGCTCCGTTGTTTACGCAGTGCACCGGATCGGGGGTCAATATCACCACGGCGGAGTTTGCAAATAGAGTTCTCAAGAGCGATGATGTAAGGTCGCAAAAAATAAATTAATTTGAATATCCATTGTTTAGTTTAGCATAAAATCGCTTTTCTTAAAACCTGGGCTAACGAACCACCCGCATTGCAGATTACAAAAATCAGCGCATATCCCGGTGGGTTCCCCGAGTCGTTATCGAAGAATGCCAGACCGGACATGCAGTGGGATTATGCTAATGCTTGGCCGCCGCATCAGCTGATGCTGGTCGAAAGTATATTACCAACTTCTCCGCAACTTGTGATTACATTTTAAATTGACCCTAATGTTTGTTGAACAGGCTTCGCGCAGTTTCCAGAAACTCGTTCCACTGCGCTGCAGTTTGCGCAGAAATATTTTTCCGCCGTTTATGCTGGTTATAACAGTAGTGGGTACTTTTTCGAAAAGGTCAGCGCTGATTTACAATGTTTAAGATCTCCGGGGTTACGTCAACTTATTTTGCGCTTTTTTTTTGTTACATCAACATGTTATTTTATACGTGGATGTCTAAATTACAGTATGACGTGAATGATCCGGGAAAATATGGCGGCGGCGGTGAATATCAAGTACAAGAAGGTTTCGGCTGGACCAACGGCGGTATACTGCGCCTGATCGAACTGTTCCCCGGCGAATTAACCGTCAATTACAACCACACCCCGTCCAGTCATACCGGAGGTTAAACGCGTTTGTTTGCTGTGTGTCCGAGGTTCTAATGCTATTTGACCTTGTCACCTTAACCGCTTGAAATTTACTCTGGGTGTAAACAGCTCGACTGACTGTAAATATGTCTTATTCCGCAGGCGGATTCATGGCGGATGCCAACTGGAAATACGTCGCTTTAGCGGCATTTGGCGTGGTGTGCCTACTGGTCGTCGGTGGGATCGTGCTGAAAAAGATCAAATTCCCAACGAAGAAGGAGCCATCGGCTAAGATCGAGGCAAAGCGCGACAGTCAGGAGGATTTGTCGCTGGTCCGGTCGACTGAGTGACAATGGAAGCCAGCGATGAAGAATCGACCAATCAGCGATCTGTGAGGGATACTGAACCAAAGAGCGCTAAAGTGATCGTCATTTCCAGAAATCTATCACCGGCCGACTTTACGATATGTGCTTGTATAATTTATTTAACCGCTATGGACACTATTGTTTTAATGTGCATAGCTTTTTGCGTAATGGTGCATTACGCCTTATCCAGTCAGTATTGCTAAGCGAGATTTAACCAAAACAACACAATAATTATCAGGGCGCACATAATTTCAGACCACACAGAAATGCTTAATAAATGTGACAGTGAGCTGGTGTAATTAAAACTGGTAAAAACCCATGTATAGCGACTATGACTTGACAGTTACGAGCATATAGAATCGAGGTCAGCACACAGTTTGAAGAAGATAGAAGTAATACATGCTATCGCACAAACTCAGTTTTTAAACTGAATTATACAGAAGGGTCGACAGAAGCGCTCCAGTCATATCGTTGTAAATTGCACTGACCTCACAACACTGGTTTTTGTTAGCAATTAAACAGTCTTTTAGCAATCAGTTTGTTAGCACTGAATAAATACCTAAAAAAATTTAGTTGAAACCCAACAAAAACAATTAATCCTAAAATTGACAGGTTTGGTGCTATAGTAGTTCTGTATAATACGTTCAGCGAAGGAAGACATAAAACTACCTATTACAAACCAAAAGCATAATAAAAAAACGCAGCAAATTTGCATGCATGCACCAATGTAAATGTGCAATACTTACCGCCAACCGGCTGTAAATTAAATACAAACATATTAAATTCTCCACGACAAGTAAAATAATACCAGCAAAACATTACAGTAAGCATTGTGCAGAACTGATCGACTAACAGCCACAGAAGAATGTAACTCGCTTATTGTAAGAGAGACGCTATTTGAGTAAGTACTGGATTCTCTCCCGCAGACAGTTCACCATGCACGCCACGGCAACCGCATTTCCAGCGCCCTGCGCAGATCCGGCAGCGTCAGTGTAAACAATATGGGATCCAGCACCGGCTGCACCGCGAACAATCCCCGCACCACCTGGAACGCCAGGCCCCACCCGCTGACATCCATAAACATACTTAACGTAAACAGCGTCGCTGCTGGTGTCCAGCAGATCGTGATACTGGCCGTCAGCATCGTCAGAACCGCGAACGCCCGCGCTTGACCTTTCATTCTTCGTCTGCTGGCACCGGTCGATACCTCCACGGACGGCTTATCCGACGACACACCGCTTTCTCCGGGATGGATCTTCCGGCGCCGATACCACAGGTAGGGATACACCGCCGGGATAAATACATTCACCAGATCGAACAAATACAGCTGATTGAAATAGCGAAACCCCAGCAGTGCCTCATCGGCTAAAAGTATGCTGCAGCCGTACACCTCTACCGGCTTCTGGTATTTCACAATGTACGTGATGATCCCTGGTAATAAACCAACGTTAACGTATACCCACATCCCGGCGCAGATGCCAACGGCTATTTTCGTGGAGTGTCGGTGCGCGTAGGACAGCGGCCACTGCACCGCCCACAACCGGTTGAGGGTGATTAAAAGATGACAGTGGGCGGTAACGGTGGCCATCAGGTAGCTGCTGTAGATGTATAACCGGCATGCTCCGCTCCCGAAGATCCACCGCGGGAACAGGGAGAGGAGGATGTCCAGCGGGGTTACCAGTACGGCATACAGCACGTTGGAGAAGAGCAGGTTGGCGAGGTACACGGTGAACGGACTCCGTAAATTGCTGTCGATAAGAAAGAGGAGAAGAATGACGCCGTTGAAGAGGACAGTTAGCGGCAGGATGATGACATCCAGAATCGGGATAGATGACCATGTAATCGATGGGAGAGTGGCGTTAGTTATAGAAGAAATGTTAGCCATGATAAAAAAATCTTGCCAAGGATTTTTAAACTAAATTATTCTTCCCGGCTCCTTTATAAACGAACGGTGAACCAGCAATAATTACTTTGTGCCGGAAACACGTGCGGACGTGGCAAAATAAAATGATTACAATCAAATACGAAATGCTGAATGCGAATTTCCGCAGTTCCAAACCGTAAGCTGAGCTGCACGCTTCCGCGATAAAAGGCTCATGTATAGGAAATCGTTCGTAATAGTTTCATGTTTCCGTTAGAAAGACTGAAAGAAAAATATGTTGCATATTGTTCAGCCTATTCACCGACTGCGTGATACCAGCGCATCAAATTCCTAGGGATAGTAAGGATTATGCTTTATAATAAACTGCCGGGAAAACCAGCAAATTCCGCTCATTACCTAATTCACCTTTTCTGCCGGCTTAAGACATCAAAGACGAAAACATAAAAACCGTCAATGTTATTATATTGGTTATAATATGTGTTTAGTCGTTATTGGCTTATTTACGCGGTGTGAGCCTTTGTGCCGGCGCAGTGCTTCCTTGAAAGGCGACCCGCTGTGGGATACAGTACCTGCGTAGAATACAGCCTGCCGGCCGCATAGCGTGTCGGTGTGGCGACATTGCTACCTGGCTATCGGATGACAGTTAATTATACGCCCGGCTGTATCTCTGCAATGCGTCAAGAGTGTTCGACTTGTCTGCTGCTGTCGCTTTTTCTTTAAAGCAAATGACCTGAGAGTCGAATTCGAAGTTTGCTAATTACACACGAACTTTGACCCCGTAGAAAAATGATAGTTAATTTGATACAAATATGCTCCGGGTTAGGGGTGTGTACTGCACCAGTATTTAAAAATAATATACAGCAGATCCGGTATCAATCAAGTAGATAATTATTATTTTACCAGGGGGCGATGCATTTGGAACAAGTTTAAGCCAGACAACGAAATGATGGTCTTAGCAATATCTGCTCAACTGCTTGACAATGTCGGCGCTCCCTTTAAATTACTATAATTTGAACACGTTTTTCTGAAGATTGTGTAAGCGTTTTACTCAGTGGAGGATGAAAAGCTTGTTATTAAGTATCTCATGCGTAATTTTTGGTAGGTTTTACTGTGGATGCCTGTGTGTTGTACGCCTATGTGTGCGCTCCGCTACCGCATGTTATAATATGCCGATTTAGCCTAACAAAGTTGATACAATGTTATTAAATTGATATCCAGGTAATCAGGATACGCACAAACAGAAAAGAAAAAAACTGTGCAAAGCATAATATCAGTAACGACAAAAGGGTCACGCAGCAACCAGTCATAAATAACTCTTGACAGAGTAATCCGCTCCGCTTTAGCAGACAGTAGAGAAGCGGGATTTAAAAAAATGACAGTATTTCACAATGAAATAAGGCTGCAGTGTAAATTAAACTGTTGCGCACAGGAGCCAGCGAAAGTACTAGAATCTTGTGCATTTACTGCTGGGATCGCCCTGGAAACGTAGGAGGAACAGCTTGTACTTTGGGACTGTACGTTTTGACATACAGTACAGTCGGCAATTAAATACTACGACAAAATAATCTGCTCTGCAGTGCATTCCGCAAATCCGGCAGCGTCATTGCAAACAAAATAGGATCCAGTACCGGCTGTACCGCAAATAATCCCCGCACAATATAAATCACCGTCGGCCAGGAGCTAACATCCGTAAACATGCTAACGGTAAAGAACACCGCAGCCGGTGTCCAACACACCGTAATACTGGCGGTCAAGATCGTCAACACGGCGAATGCCCGACCGTGACCTTTTACTTTACGCGCCCCTCCGGTCTCAGACGGCTGATTTTCCGACGCCACCGCATAGCGTCCGTCATGACCTTTTGATTTTCGCGTTGCACCGGTCCCAGCTTCGTTTGACGGTTGATTTTCTGAGGTCACCGCATACCGGACACCCTCCACGGGATGAATCTTCCGTCGTCGATACCACAAATACGGATACACCGCCGGGATAACCAGATTAACCAGATCGAACAGGTAAAGCTGATTAAAGTACCGAAAACCTGCTAGTGCGTCACCGGCTAATAAAAGATCACAGCCGAAGGAATTCACCGGCTTTTGATATTTCATAAAATATAATACGATTCCCGGTAAGAGTCCCGCGTTAACGTATAGCCACATCCCGGCGCAGATGCCGACGGCCAGTTTTGTGGAATGCCGCTGCGCGTAGGACAGTGGCCACTGTACCGCCCACAATCGGTTGAGGGTGATTAGCAGGTGACAGTGGGCGGTGACGGTGGCCATCAGGTAGCTGCTATAGATGTACACGTCACAGGCTGCGCTCCCGAGATCCCAACGGCGAAACAGGGAATTCAAGATGTCCAACGGAATCACCGGGACAGCGTATAGGATATTGGCGAAAAGCAGGTTGGCAAGGTAGACGTTGAACGGCGTGCGGAGATTGCTGTCGATGGTGAATAATATCAAGATTAACCCGTTGAAAAGTACGGTTAAGGGAAGAACGATGACGCCTAAGATCGGGACGAAAGTCCAGGAGATGGTTGGATTGGTTACGTTCAGCAGTAAGACTAGCGTGTTGTTGGCCATTTTAATTTAATGCTAAGGAAAATGTGGATGATTCTATCGGGTGGAGTGGAGCGACGGAATGGCTCAGAAGATGTTTGCGGCTTTCATCAGACGTCAAAAAAGCACAGAATCGTGACGAATGCTCTCACGCTATCCAGCGGAAATATGTGGGTCTTCTGCTGACGGAAAGCGTACAGCATTGTGAGATTTCCCAAGTGTGTGGCAATGGCAGTATGAATAGGGATTTGGCTTTCTAAAGCGGATTGATTGTCCACAAACATGCCAAAGGTTTCGTCCACAAACGGTGCGGGCGGATTGTGAAACGTCATACATATTCAGATATGGTGCTCTCTTTTGTTATATGAAGAGCTTGAATTCCGCCGACATATTCACGGATCATAAGACCGGCTCAAAGTACGCTCCATTTCTGCATTGATTCTATTGATACGTTTCCTTGGAATTTTTACCATAGAATATGGATAACCGCGTACATGTTTTACATAGACCTGCGTGCTCTGACATGGAAAATAATTTATAGTCTTCATAAGTTTATCATATCCTGAGAACTTCGCGCTACGACTACCACTGACTATGACCAATAATTAAAATTACCCGGACTTTGCCGGACAATCAGTCAGTAATTGGTGGGGATATACTTTTCCGGTAGTACTGTACCTTCACATAAGAAAGTAGCCACTGGGGTTGTTAACCACATGTAGGATTCAAAAAGGATGTAGGGTTCAACACATGTAGTATTCAGAAATTACGCATGTAACCTGCAAAACGTCCGAGCGCAAGAACCGTCCGCCGAACGCTTTTGTCCATGAGCCGGCAAAACTTCCAAAGTAAAGTTTATCCGCCAGGCTTTTTTGCAGCTTTCAAATATTACGCACTGGATGGATCGATTTTTTACCCGGACGATTTTTCCGGAGAGTATACTCGGGGACGGACGGTTTTAGCGGTTGTAGTTGGTAGCGCTTCTCGGTATGAATCCCGCCCTGGCATTATTTGGCCAGTTTGCATACCCCTGAGCACACAATGATGTTCATTTGCGCGCAGCTGTTTATCACCTGCTATACGTTAGTGTAAATCCAGCTTATCGACACTGTCCACGCATGACGCAGAACGACGCTCTGTGTAAAACTACACAGAAAGGTCAGCAAGCACAAAAGGGCGCTGCTACAACGCATCGATTTTATTGCGATTCTACTGGACAGCTCATTTTTCACTGTAGCAATATGCTTAACAATAAGCAACACTCAAGAACATGCAGACTCCATTTAATATAGTTCAGTACATTGAAAGAAACAGGTAATCTTTTAAATTTTAATTAAATTTATTTATCACCCATTTATTTGCCGGTATGAAATCATAATTATTATCTCGCCAATGAACTAGCTCAGGCTTTTCTCCAAAAATAAGAGCACTATGAATAATCAACAGAACACACTTCAATATACATAATGCAGCTACGTAATTCATTCAAGCGCTCGCTGAGACGAAACGTTTCATTTTTCTCAGATATTTTACTGTCTCCTGGATTTTGTGGTTCTAGTAAAAATTCTGGTGTGGTGTTTCGCTGCGCGATGATGTGAGCGACACGGTCTTGGCTCTGGCCGCTTGGGCCATCAGGACTGGGCCGCCTTGCGGCAGGCGGGATCCGGGCTGTGGGTTGTTGTGCGTCATCGTGGGCTGAAAGGCATGAAGTCCCGTAAACGTATTCTTCGGCTGCCCTGGAGCCATCAAACCTGCGATAATATTATCCTGGTTCATTAAATATATGAAGCATGCCATAGCAAATTAGTTTCGGTGCTGGGACGTACTGGTCCGGAACGTTCCGTAACGCCCTTCGTCGGGCGGCTGAACCGTCTGAGGTTGTTTAGTCCTGGCGCGCTGTTTGGGTGGTTTGAAATCAGGAGGCAATTCACCGCGATCTTTCAGCATTTTATTCCTTTAAAGGTATTAAAAATGCACATGCGTATGCTGTACTTGCTGCAACAGAATTTTTCCAGAATTGTACTGCTTACATGTTGGCCTGCGCGAGAATTTCAAGACCCGGAGACACCGCGAACGCTTCATCGTACTGCATGCAGTTGATCAGCTCTTCATCAGTCATGTTAATTAGGCGGACGCACGCCATGAGTTTGGGCAGCTCTTTCAGGCGCTCATGCCGTCGATGGTTGATCCATGCCATCGCGGCTTCGAACACCTCGAATTCTGTCTGTAAATTAACCATCTCACATTTCAATAATCGTAAGTATCACCGGAAACGGATGCAGTAGTTACTACTCTGCACTAGTACAAAATCTGATTTTAACTCGAGTAACATGCCGTCTTCTTTATTGACGGAAATTCTATCACGTCTCACCTTTGGTACCAAAAAATTGGAGCTGAGAACCTTCGTCACAGCTGGCAGGCTCTGTTCCAGGAAGGCTTCCCGTTGGTAGAACAGCTTGAAATCCTTGGTAAACTTGGACCAGGCGATTTCCTGCAGGTCTTCCACGCCAAGGTCAGTCGCCGCCTGTATCGTCTGGATGATATTCTGGTCTTCCAGCAGACGGTCAAGAATCTTGCTACAACGGGCGACCACCACGTACACTTCTAGTTCTTTCGCGGCCTTGTAAATAGCGACCAACGAACCAAGCTCGATCTTTAATTGAAATAAAGATCTATTAAAATCAGGATTTAGAGTGCCGGTGAGAGCAAATCGGGCTAACTAACGAATACCTCCAGTTTAGCCAGGTACATAAATTCCACAATCTGCCGTAGCGCTCCCAGCGTGACCTCATTGGAGAGCGCGATAACAATGGGTAGAGTCTTCGTCTTATGGAAGTCCATGGCTTCCTTCTCACAGCGCCCCGAATGTCCCACCACGACGGCAGAGTGGACAGGGATCACTGAATCCACCGTTTTCAGGATGATATCACACAGTGTCCCGGTACGCCACAGTCCGACGAACGTCTGGTGGATCCTGCAACACTGTGCGATGTTTAGTCAACCATGAAAATTCAACGCCGAAGTAACGCTCATAAATACTTACTGCATGAGATGGCGCTTTTGCTCTTTGCCGAGCATCTCCTCCACGTGGATTTGGATGGCGGTTTTCTCCGGGCGCTGTTCATCGAGCGTTGCCGCAGTGAACCCAAAGGCGTCCACACCCGCTGCCGCCCCGGAGACGTAGCTGTCTTCCCGGAAACTCTCGCTGCCGGATTCGCTTGACTGGATGAATGCTAAAACAGTGAAAGTGTACACTTAACCAAATGGATCAAAAGTCAGCCACAGAAAACCAGCGGTTTAATTAGATAAAGAAGAAAAATATTAAATAAGGCTGTAAACCAAGATTTAAGTAAGAAAATGAATTTCTGCGACAACGATTATCTCTGGAAATTCAGAGAGGGAACGCGGCATCTGTATTGGGAACCGTGGGCGAAGCGGATAAATTTAATGAGATTTATTTGCTATAATTACGTATTCGTTTACTTGTATTTTGTAAACAAAAGTGTAATGGTGCAGACTGTGCAGTAAGAAAAAAATTTTTAAATACTAGTTTAATATTATTACGTAAACAATTGCTTATTACGATTATTTAAACAATGGTTAAATTTACTTTGATGTTTTTCGCATTAGAAATGGTTTTTCTACTACAGATGCACCTGCATGACGGAGTAATAAGGAACCCGACACAAACATTTACCGCATTTATCCACATGCAACTACGTTTTGCGGCAGCAAACGCAATATTATCTGTATACTGCCACCAAGCAGTTGTACAATACATTAAATTTTGTAGAAAAAGATTGTTCCAGAACGTATTGTGCAAAAATCCGGCAGAGTAATATAATGCTCGTACAAAATGACCTTTGAATAAAAAATTTTGAAAAAGAAATTGCTTACTCTGCGCAGCACTTACTGTAGTGCATAAAAAATCCTGGAAAAATCAAATCCGATAAGGGCGGTTCTGCGTAAACTTACAGATACATAAATATGTCGCATAAATATTAACACAAAAAAATCCGTGTAGATATTTTCCACTGACTGCAGACAAAATACATATCAGTATCTGTATGAATACATACAACTATAAAAAGCTGTACTCGTAGTGATGTGTAATCGTATTAATTATGCATGGTTTAACTATGCTTGACTTATCTATTTTATCTTTTTTGGTAAATTTTTACCTTCCCTTAATTGGTCAGCCAGCTATCGTTATTGCTCCTTGCACCATTTTTTGCGCTCACTACCTTGTATATCATTCACTCCGTTCACTACCATTTCTAGCTTTTGCACTTGACGTTCTTGCATGAATGAAACACCTTGGATTTTTTTTCATCCAGCAGAATTTGTAAAGTTCAAAGCTTACATAATGATAAGAATACTACATTCATACCTAAATTCCTGGGTTCGAAAATTCCTGGTATTATGAACTGTTTGCGAAGGCGATATAAATGCCTATTTGTAATTTGAGAGCTATATTATGAATATATACAGACCTTAGATCGAAATAATTTTAAAACAAACAACTGGGCGGAAATTAGGTACTAAGTCACTAAATAAATCCGTTTCGCACTGGCCGATAAACAGCTAACGGAGGAAAATGACAGTGCAAAGAAAAGGCTGTGCACGAAAGTTTGTGAACCGAGTAAAAGGTAGTGATGGGTCCTGACTTTATGTACAGCACAACATATCTATATACTCTGTATTTGGTTAGATATCAATAATTCCCAATAAATCACGATATTGTACCATCGAAATCCGAGTCTGGAAAAAGGCCGGAATCGTCGTATGTGCCACTGTTGTCATAGTTGTCAGGGGGCGGCTGGACAGAGGAAGTGGATGCCACACGGACAGGGCGATTATTCGGTGGGAAGCCACTCAGCTGATGGATGCGCTGCTGATAGGGATTACGATCGTAATCCGTAGGCCAGCGGATTTGTGCCTCCGTGGAATCGGAATTCGTGCTCATGGTTGTTAACACTGTCATTCAAAATACAAGGGAGCGCGATTTAATTCATCAGAACAATATTACGCTGGTAAGTTTATCCATCAACTTCACAAAGCAAAACAGCACGTTTGTGTCAGACGCGCACAATTTGGCTGTGTGAACTTTCCTTTGCAGCGTTTCGAGTTTAACGAGAGAAACACTTAGCAACAAGAACAGTCATGTTAAAATCTGCTTGCAATCAACTAATTACCGTAAGTACACTTTACGTACATACAGTATTCCAAGCATAGTTTACTTACGTATTCTAATAAGCATTTATATGATGTACGTTAATTTAGTACGGACAGATGCTTTACACGGAATTCTCAGATTCTGCAATGTAAACAAGCAGCAATTGTAAACAAATTTATTGTTTTAAAATTTAGTGAAGCAATGATTGTTAACTTTGTTATAGTGATCCTGCGGCTGACTTTATTGGCAGACATCAATGCCGCAACTAATGGCGTACGATGTCGTGGCTAGATTTGTTTTGCATCTGTTATATAGCAGCACGGATTAGCGCTGTTTTGGTAGGACCTTGCGGGGAGCCTTGCAAATCATTGCTACCTAGTGATACGGTCGAAATTATCCAGCTGAATGATCAGTACAGCGCGCACTTCGCATCACCCGGTTTCCCCAACCGGGAAGCTAAATTTGTGGCGCGCTACTATTCCGTGCAGAGTCAGCCGGACTTGATGGGGCTACGTGGCTTGAGAGTACGTGCACATTTCGGTGACATTTGGAGTACCAATTTCTGCTGGTGCATCTTCCATACTTATTTCCTGACGAAACTCACGTAAATACTAGAAAAAAGCACTGTGGCTGTGGCACTGTGGCATTAGAAAAATGATTCTGCATAAAGACATTTAGCTGCGCCTACCTGCATTCGTCACTTAAAAAAAATGGCTGAGTAAAGTCAACAAAGATATATGATTAAGCGTAATTTTAATGTAACTAGTATTTTTTTCACTATCTTTTTACGCATTTTTTCTGGAATAAACTTTCTCAGCAGTCGTAATATTTATCATAATTTATGTGACTGTTCAGTAACAGAAAATAATTGTTCGTTATGGACGAGTGCGGAAAGTTTTGCATTTTATGAAGGTCTTACAGCAGATGCGTTTCTGGTACGAAAATCATCAAAAAATACCTAACGTTTCTTTTATAGTTTCGTAGCACACTTTTTGACGTGGGACAAACAATCGGCACACATCCATATTGCAGCGAGAGTGATAGTGTGATTATATTTGACGCACACTGTAAGGGCACCTCCGGGTTCTGTGATAGAGGACGCGGTTCACCCATGCAACGCTTTTTTTCCTGTAGACTTGAATATATTACCGCGGTTTGCCCTGGGGATCTTTTGTGGAAACCAGACGCTGGACGTTGTTACGTATAGTGCCAATGCGGTAAGGTCAGCCAAAACCGTTATTAAAAGCACTCGAAATTATCTGTAGTTGTTAAAGAACTGTAAGTTACAGAGCGGCTGTGTAGAAACCAGTTAAAATTCGAGTGTTCTTGATATTAAACTACGTCCCTAACTGACAAAAGCGTACGGTCAACTGAGCGGGCGGCGGACGTTTTAGTGGTTACACCGACCAAAACGTCCAAAGGCGAAAAAATACCCGCCGCAAATTTTGCCTAGCCACTTTTTCCGCGCTTTTCGATACGGCCAAAATAGTTGAGTACCGTAAATCCCAAATTAAACGAGCAATTACCGCCCCCTCTGATTTTGAACGCCCACTCCCGCGGGTCCCGAAAAAACGACACAAGTGAACCTAAGTTTAGAGTGGTTGCGAAATTAAAGATGGCATGTAGCCTCTGAATCACAATCAATAAAGCCGAAGCCGCAGTACTTTAAACCGTGATTTTAGACAATTTTTAAACTTTCCTTCCGATTCAGCGAACCGGCAGGGACAGTAGTAACGAAGGTAAACGAAGTGTGCGATATCTACATGTACTTAACGGCGTCCGACCACCGTGTTCAGAACTTCCGGTTGGTTTTTCTTTGAGACCAAAGGGAATGCTGTGCTGGTATGGCGATCCAACTCAAAAGTGTTCAGGCAGTTGTGATATATCGCGTTCTGGCCAAAGTGTCCGGGTTGGTAGCGTGTTCCAACTAAAGTGTGATTGGGCGCAAAATTTACGGCTGACTTTTTTGGCCCGTGGACGTTTAACAGTCTTTTGATCGTTTAACTACCAAAACATTTGACGGATGTCTTAGTCTTGGGGACGAGAAACAGTAAATGGCACGGCTCTAAAACGTGTAACCATCAAAATATTTGAATATGATTAAGCCTGCCCAAATTGCGCCTCTACCCTGTAAACAGTTTCCAGTGTGAATAAGCCGGTAACCGTCGGTAACCGCGGATAGGTGCTGCTTTATCGGACCACCGGCAAGAGTCGGTCGCTGGGATTCAACATCACCGTAACCCGTACGTTGTGTGGTCGCCAATAATTTATAAGTAAACAGATTACGAAAATGAATTTGTTTCGTGTAGGAGCGTGCGGACTGCGAAACTTTGAATGCCCATCGGAGAGGAGAATGTGCATATCATACAACCACATTTGCGATGGTACTGCCCATACTTCACAGACAATTGCACTGCCTACATAAATTATTGTATCAACTCGTACTGCCAAAACCTAGTACAGCTTTTCAGGCGTTAAGGACTGCCCATACGGCGAGGACGAAATCTGCACTATGAAATGTGGAGTTCCACCAATTCCTTCCAGCGAAGTAGAAGCACCGGTTCGCATAGTCGGTGGCACCGAGGTAAACTTAGTATTCGTTGTTGCTTCGGCATGGTTTACAGGCGACAGTTAGTTTGTAACCGATTAAAACTCCGGGCAACCTAATTGTCCGGCGTAAATTGTAGTCCTGAACCGGCTACAAATTTTTGACGGCAGAAGGTTTTTGGTCCCAGGTCGCTTTGGTCTGTTAAGAACCAAAATGCCGGGTGTCTTATTGGTCGGTTCCAGGTCGCTCATGCTTTAGCAAATTTAGTGAGACAACCGTTTTTGGGTTTTTTTTAGTCTGATCCCCACACTTGGCCGTGGCAAGCGCACGTCAGTGTATGGTACTCTGGACGGGACATCGGCAGTAAAAGCACTTGTGGCGGTACAGTGGTATGAATGTTTTCCGTCGCAATAGACTGCAAAATATCCAAAGCAGGCAAAATATCCAAAGAGGGTATGGTGACTTTCGTCTTTCGATATTACAGATTGGTCCGCAATGGATCCTGACAGCGGCACACTGCTGCGCAGAAACAGGGTATGTATGCAAGGTTGCTCGTTCTGTTTACAGATTCTTCGAGATAGGCCAGTTTTTTGGCAGTAGTAGGCCAAAGCGCGACAGCAGAGCATAATACAGCAACGTGTTACCACAGCCCACAGGGATAAATACTTATGCTTGCAGTTACGATTAATGACCGCGGTAGCAACTGCGGTACAAAAATGCCATGTGTGACATGTGACGATAGATAAAACGGCACGCCCACCGATGCATGTCTTGGAAGCGGAGGACATGGAAGTGACCCTCGGCATTCATAACCTGGATCAGAAAAACAAGGAGAACACGTATCAAGTGAAGACCATTCTCGTCCATCCACGTTACAATCCAATGGAAAACTTTCAGTGCGACTACTGCCTACTTCTGTTGGACAGGGTAAAACCTATCTAAGCGGTTTTCGAGATGCTTCTTATGCACTACCGAGAAACTGTTGAATTTTTTTCTACCCTTCTGAACGTTAATGGAGTAGTTTTATCTCGAACTCAACGAGACGGAGGCACTGAGTTTAACGCACAAATCTACAGAGAAAACGTCCCATCCATGTATCAGACTTAGCCGCTTAGGTACAAACGTTGCCATACCTTCAGCCGTTAAGTTGTCAACTATGGTTGCAGTGGCACAACTCATGGTGCGCTATTTGTGGCCGATTTCACTTAACTACAGTAGATGATTCGCTAACGACTTCCCGGAGTAGCTGCGTAGCTCATAATAAAAAGCCTTTTCCGCACAGACCATCCAGTTCAGCAACAAGATTCAGCCGATCTGCCTGCCGCGCTATCCCGATCCGGTGCCGGGCGTTAAGTGCTATGCCACCGGATTTGGGAAAACCCAGCAGCGGAGTGCCAAAGATGAGAGCAAAAAGGATCCCACCAGTCGGGTGCCGTTACAGGTGAAATAGTGCGTGTGGTAATTTTGTACGCGGCGCTGTGATCTGCCCGTCGTATTACGAGTGGTTTTTCTGCAGCCTAACAACAGACACTAGACATCTTATGTAGGTAGATTTAGATCTAATGCAAACCCAGGACTGCTGCCAAAGAAAGGGAAGTAGCGGTGAGAGTATGGAGTCACTCACTCCCGATATGGCGTGCGCAAATAGTGGCAATGTCAGCAACAAAGACACGTGAGTGATAATAACGTCAGGAAAACATACCCAGCTGGCAGACATGACGTTCATTTGTTGTCAAAATGTAATTGTCAGCGCATATAGGTTTTCGCTGGCCAGACCATAAAAGCGCTTTGAAAGTGTGAGCCTTTGATATTGTTGTTCGCGAATTTTTAGGTGCTCCGGTGACAGTGGCGGGCCACTGAGCTGTCGTGTACCAAATTCCATTCCACTACAGTGGCAATTATTCGGCGCCACTTCCTGGGGATAGTAAGTATTTTGCCCGATATTACTGCAGTATTTTCAACGCGCTCAGATGTCGTCGCATATTGAGTACCAGCCACGACTAGACGACTACACGTTTTATTGTCTCAAACTAATGTTAGCTAAATCAAGTGTATAGGTCATCAGCAGTGTACGTGTAACGTTAAGCCGCGTCTTCCGGTAAGGAAAACGTTGATACGAATTTGAAGCACTCGCTATACTATTTCAACGAGATGTTTTAATCGGACTTTCTTCGCAAACAAAGATAAACCTTAGTGTTTATGCCTTATGGTAACTTCCATTAATAACCAAGCACTTTCGGTTGTTTAACTAGTGGCTGCGCCAGCGGAACACCCGGTGTATACGCCCGGGTCCGCACTGCCCTGGCTTTCGTGGCTGATGTTCTGTATGACTTTAAAAGAGAAGGCTGGTTCAGCGACACAACCGTGCCGGAAATCAATTGGGAAACTGTTCAGCAGCCGGCGGTCAGTGAATATGAGCTTATTATCAAGAAGACCAAAGAGATCTACGTCAACCGCAGCGCACCTCAAGGACTACTCATAAACTTGCTTACTTACGGTGTGGCAATATCAGTACTGAGTTTCTTTGCTAATAACCACTGTTGATAAATGTGAAGTTTCGGTTAACTAACAGTATTCCCGATTGACGGTAGAGAAACAAGTGTGAAATAAATTTCAAGTTCACGGAATTTCATGGTAAATATAAAAATTAATGCGTTACGCGGAAACTGCCCGGTTTTTGCTTTTCATTAACCAGAATTTCCTTTGAGCATTAGCGATTTGAGAGGGAGTGGGTGGGATAACTCCGCAAGAGTAAGAAAGCGCGTCATATTATTTCTCGACGTTTTACCCTTAAATTTCTAGCTAAAAACGCTGACGTTAGTTTGTGATGGAAAGTGACAGCTGGACTCGTGTTTATATACGAGCGCAGCTGAAACCATGGGGAATGCACGCAAGCGATTACCGTTCGATTGTCTATAAATAAGATTAATTTTGAATGTTGAAATGCCATTATTGCATTCGGTCCTTTTGCAATGTATAGGATCCCAATTTATCCGATAGGATCCCAATTTATCTACGACCAAAGATACGCGGCGTACAGTCACGAACATGCTTTTGTACGAGTACAGTACTCTGTACTTATGCAAAATATTGCAGTCGATCTGTGATCGATGCTGTCAAGACGTGCAAAACGTTCTCTTCAACTGTAATTTGCAAACTGCATAGCAACAGCTTATAGGCACAACAAATCGTATAAATTACTATAAAGTTAAACAAGAGTACAAGTATAGTACTTTGTATTACTGTATTTTGACATCACCGCTTACATTCTACAATACAGCACTTACATTCTACATCACTTGTAAGGTTTGTAAAATCTCTGACGACAAAATAGTAAGTACTCTAGTGATATACCTACTGTTGATGGCATGGTATAGTAAAAAATATAAAACTCACTGGTACGACAAGTTGTTTAGAACTGACCTAACCCTACCCAGTACTTGTCAAAATTGGCAAATGTGACCCCGTCGACAAATTTGCAGTTGCCAAGAATACCAACCTGCGTTATCTAGACGACATTCTACCCAAATGGACGAACCGGTAAAACGGCGCACCCAAGCAAACGGTAAAGACATACGTTTCCTGTACCATAAATAGCGTAATTCATTTTCGACAGCCACATTGCCGTGATTAACAAGAAGGAAGTTGCTAGACTGAAATATTTACATACAAGAGTCATCTTGGGCTTCGCTTTAGATGCTCTTGTGGTCTACAGTCAATTACGGGAAAAATATTCTGGGTAATTTATTTTCAGGCTTGGTTGTTGTGCGCTTTTATATGATATTTACATGAGTACTGGTAGGAATTTTTCGTACCGTGGCTTGAGTTAGCCTGCTTTTGATCAGGAAACAGTAGCAGCTGATAGGTTCACTTTATGTAAAATAAAGTGTTAGCAGCACGACTGATAATCGAAGAGCGGAGCTAAGTTTCTACATGTGATATCTGCTCCGCTGCGTGTAAATGGTGTAAGCATACTTTGATCGTGGACAATAATACTGGACAATTATAAACTTGGCGCTGGGCGGCAATGATAACGGTTCCGCTTTTATCTCTTTCTCGTAACATAAACTCCCGTTAACTCAACAGGCCCGATATATCGGCGGACACGTACGTTTCATGTTATTGAGTAGGTTTGGACCGTTTGGTCAGTGGATTGTGTGACGCTTTGCGCGGTTCTGTTCATTCGGCAGCTCAGCTACCCTATTAGCACCGAGCCCTTCCGTTCTCATAATAATGTTCTGAATTTAGGAACAGCAGAACCAGTTCCTGTAATTTCCGTTTATTCAGCTGGTCGCGTACTGAACACACAATGGCAAAAACTTGCATGAGAAGTTTAGTTGCAAACTATGGTCAGACACTGCTTGTACTGGCTTCTGCCACCGAGTGGACGAAGTCCGCTTTCGTCTTCTGCACGCTAAACTTAACTATGCCGGTAAATAGTACTACACTCGTAGCTTCAACAACGTTTTTTGTATTTTAAACTGACAATGTATGAGAGCGCTGGAAATCTTAAGTTTCCGTGCACGTAAAATACGGTACATCAATTGGCTCCATATACCGGCACACTTCTCCCTGTGAAGGTTTCCGGGCGATAAAAGTTTGCAGAGTTTAGTTTCTTCGGTACTACCTACAGACGATCCATGAAACGGGCTGCATACAGCTAGTACTGTATCTGCAGTTTTTCGTTTCTGTTGACAACAATTCTGGGAGCTGTCCAATGAATTTTTCTTCATCTTTATAGAGAATTTTGTAGAAATAAACGAAGTGAAAAATTTTTTGAAGTTTATTTGAAAAAAAAAGTTTTTTTTTATCGCACCGGGCTGTATTTGAGTATAAATTGCTCCACTCAAGAATGTTTTAAAGGGTCTTTCAAGTCACCTTTAACTAATGCCTGTACCGGTTCCGACATTCGAGCGATGATCCCAGGGCAAATATTTTCGCAAACACAATGCATTTGGGACTTCTTTCAAAACATGCTGAGTTTAATGGTGAAATCGGTTTTTTAATTTGTTTAGAGGTTTTTTAGCCACGTTCCACGGGGCGGCCGATCATAATACAGATCTACTTCCTCGATATCCTAATTTTATTAGCCTAAAAGATTTTAAAGGTTGTATGCGACCGAGACCGAAACAATCATAGGGTCAGTCTCAGTAAGGTTTGCATTTCGTTCCGTTTGTGTTATACACATGCTAAATCTGATTTCCTAAATTCCTATTAACATTTTTTCTGCTCCTGTGAAATATATGCGCGTGTTACAAATGAATGATAAAAAGCAGTTGAACGTTTTGCTTTCTCTAAACGCTTTCCGTCGAAAGACTGTCACAGCATGAAAAAGTTTTCTTTGGCCAAAGAAACTCTCTAGCACTTTCAGATTTAACCGGCGTTTATGTCTAATTTACAAAAGTGAAGTAGGCAATTAGAATTACAGGGGTGCTTGAATTACAGGGGAATTACAGCACACAGTGCTGTAATTCTAATTACTTACAGGTAATTAGAATTACAGGATTCGCAGGTAATCAACGCTCAATTCCCTGAAGATGAAATTTTATGAAAATCGGTCGTTGACAACATCCCGCGGTTTCAGGGCAAGCGTGCGCAAGAGGTAAACCTCCACTTTAACAACACCCACAGTAATTTTGCAAAGGTCGCGCAGGTTTGGTTGAAATCGAACGACCTTGGACACATCTCCCCACAGCCTTGAACGACAAAAACGTTAAATTCGTTTTCTTTGGATTAAGGCCTTACTGCAATTTTTAAGCACATTATAGGCTCACACGGTAGACGAGTCGAACGATATGTACAGATATTCTGATACAGGTCTGCTCCAATTTTGCATTCACTCCAGTTCTAAAGACGCTACAAGCGAGAAATACAAAAGTGCATGGAACGATGTTGGACACATACAATGTACGACAAAAAGAAGTTGATGGCTCGGTTTTAAAACATATTGTGCGCACTGGCTGTTTTCCCTGTTGCAAACTGGTCTCCGTTCATGCGTGTGTCGTAAAGTCAGTTCTACCACCCATTTCTCCTGAATTACGAAACAGAATAACTCAACCAATATCCCAAAAGATCCAGAAAAAAATTACGAGATTTTTGATTCCAAATAAGTGGCAATTCATGGGAAATGAAACAAATTATCTGTGTTTGTTTTTCTCATAGACTTAAGCATAGATTGCAAGCCAAACGGTTCTGCGCACAGATCCTATGCTGTACCTACGAGAAAGCACAACGACTAGAATTTGTTTTGTTCGCTATAAATAGCCACATGTTTAATATCAAAAAGTTATGAATTTTTTTCTACACCTTTTGATATGCAACTTGCATAGTTTCACTCCCAAATTCAAGGAGCGCGAGCGTTTGAAAGTGACGAACAAAGAAAGTAAGCGTCCAAGTTTTACTGGTGGCGTGTCGTTGCGAGGTTATTTTTGAACCGCGGACCGACCGATCGGTTCAACTTCTTTTTGTCGTCCATTGTACGATGATGATATAAAAATTTAATAAGTTCGTAATTATTGACAAGAGCCCTATGGTAATTTTTGGAAAAAAGTGCCCTTACTTGGCGTAGCACCCCTGTAATTCTAATTACCTAATTTGCTTTGTAAACGGGACACGAATGCCATCTGCACAATAAGCGAGACAGGTCGCTTTGGAAAACTCAAACGACTAATATAAATTTTTTTGCTTTTCGCTTTGTTCGTTTTTTCTTCCGATTATCCGACACTTTCATCTCCTTACCCGTGTAGCAGATATCCATAGAAACACCAAAATGGTGTAACTTGACCAATGTTTCATTGGCGGAATATATCGGTTCAAGGTTATCTACGTCTCTGCGTTAGGTAACCACTTCATTCCGCAGGTTGCTTATAACATGCAAGTCTTTGGGAGACAGAAGTTATTTCGAGGTCATTTCGAGCATCGATGAGTCAAGATTTTTTCGCTAACCCGTATCACATACCTTTTGGGCTACTCAACATTTTATAAAGAAATCTATGAAAAAATGCCACTTGGAGAATTTTCCGGAAGGTCCGTTGTAAGCTCTCTAAAAGGGAACACTACCAAATCCCGATTTTAACCAGTTGGCCACTTATTGCCGCTTGTAGCGTTTTACATTTTCCATTTTAGAAAGTTCTAATCGTCTAGTTCGGCCGCAAACTCACCTAGCTGGCTTTGTGCTCTAGACAGTAGTGGTAGTTCGAGCAGACTCACCTACCCGGCTTTGTTCTCTGGACAGTAGGCAGACTCACCTAGCCGGCTCCGTGCTCTGGACAGTAGTGGTAGTTCGTACGCTAGCTCTCATAGAGTTTGTAGGAAACGAATACTATCTGGCCCGACTTGCCGGGGCTTTTCAAAATATAATATTTGTTTTGATCGGTCTTTTCTGGTTTGTTGGCTCTGGTTTATCCCGTTCGTAGCGATATCGATCTGAATTTGGATAGATGTGAGGTTGCACTCCAAGAATTTGGTCGTCCCATGCAACGTATACAGTACAGTAGTTTGTGGTTGCACACTACGCACGAGTATTAACTAATAAAATCAGCCTGTGATCCGGTATTCTTCCGATTTTGATAATGGCGATCCTAGCGGCTTTTTATTCTTTCCGAAGCTACTTCAGCTAAAAGCCAAGCACGAAATTAAAGACATCAAGTTCGGCGTGAGATGGCCCAGCTTTTGCAGCATCGTTCAGTACATTACGTTTTAAAAGTTTTCGTGTTAAAATATATACCTTACTGATTTGTTTAAACCTTGATTTTAATATTCATATCTGCAACAGCGCACTGGGCTGCAAACAGCCGCAAAAACAAGCAAATCGTTGAATCAAATCTTTGTATCTGTATAATTCCTAATATTTCCAAAAGAAGTAGTGGACTATGTGTTTATTTTTTAGGCGATGAAGCGCGGAAGTCTCTCCCACGCTCCTCCCTATCTACCGCCGGTACGTTCTCTAAGCTAAATTGCCCTGGCATTAGCGTCACAGATTTTGTAAACTGAATATCGTGTACTTGGGGCTGTAGGTACCAGAAAAGAAAGTATGCCAAGGCGAAGCACTGTATCGCGGGGTGCCCAGAAGGGTAGCAGTCGTTGCCGGCAAAACAGCAGTACGACTGAGAACGTTTTTCGTTTATTTCTTCGTTTTTTGTTTTCGCAAGTTTTTCTTTTTTTTTGCAACTTTTGTTGCTTCGACTGGCCTTCTCCATAAATTGCGGTTGCATTTGAACTTTATACGCTTTTGTTTAGTGTCGCCGATACCGTCCTCTATTTCCACGCCGCCCCCTACACCAAAACCGGAAATGGTAGCCGCCAGCACCGATAACCCCAAACTGCGTGAGCCGGGGTTTGTGACGCGGTTGCTATCACGAATACGCCAACGGCGCCGCGTGAAGCAAGTGAAGAAGAAGATCGACCGCGTGACCAAGCACAAATTGGATAAGGCGGTTCTGGAGGAGCTCGGCAATCAAGTGGGCATCCAAGTCCCGTCCAACGCGCAACTCACCACCTACGTATCGGAAGGCGTTGGTCCGGATGAAGATGACAAAAGCGATTCGGAGCAGTTCACCGAGAATGACTTCCGCATTCGGGATTTTGTTAATCTCCTCGGTGTGGACCCGCACGTGCCACACCGCACAGCGCTGGAACTGTTTACCGACCGAGAACGTTTGGTGGCCGAGAAGAAACTCGCGGTGTCCTCAAAAACAACGAACGCCGCCATATTACAGGTAAAAGCATATTAAGAATAACAAAAATAGGTGCGTCGTTTTAACGCATATTGCACAAACAAGCGTTTGTCTGTCCGAATTCAGTGCTGGTTGCTTATATACGCTGCATGAGTTCCTGCTTTGCTGCACACTGTATTCTAATTCTGCTACCAATTTTACTGGCCACTTTCCACTTTGTTGTCTTAAACTGTACTCAGCCTAAATTTTGTTTCATCGCTAGAATTTAGATTTCGAGAAGATCGAAGACTACGATGAAGAGTTTCTCCTGGTCTGGGATTTGGATGCCGGTGAGGAGCTGATCGACTACATGGACGAACAGATAGAAGCATACCAGTGTGAGTACGACCAACTGTGCGAAGAGAACAGGACGCTGAAAACTCAACTCCTGCAACTGAAACGCCGGAAGCAGGATTCCTATTTCCGGGTGAAGGATCTGGAGACGATCGCCGCGGAAGCTGAGAAACGCTACGGCCGCTTACACCGCACCCGCCCGTCCAAGCGACAGTTAGATAAACTGAATACTAGCCGTAGGAAAATGGTCATCGTGGCGGCATTGCTGGATCAGCGCGAGGAACTCTTCCGTGAACACCGGCGTATCCACCGCGAGCTGAGGATGGGAAATAACGCATACCGCAAAGAGGAGTACGAAGCCAATAAAGAGATCAAGAAAACATTTCGGCTCCTTCAAGAGTCCGTGAAGCTGTACCAGAAAGCGCTGAAGGATGAAGAACTGCGGCGGAAAGATTTAGCGCTGATCCGGCAAGAAATGAATTATCTATCCGAAGAAATCGGCTTGTATGTCTTCCAAGACGGGAATTCACACCACAGTCTTCAAGTAGCGGAGGCGCTGGCGTACCTCTCCAAGAACGTCCAGGTCCCCGAAGAGAAAGCCAACCCGGTGAAGCGACTATCACAGATGGAACTCAGTTTGAGCAATTTAAAGGCAACGGGATTCCAGTATATGAAAACCGTCAATGACACCCATACCGAAGTGTTGTGGCATGTCAACCAACGGGAGGATATTCTAGCCAGTCTGATACGGGAATACATGGAGCGGAAGGAGATCTTGAAGATCGACCCGAAAGTATTAAAGGTCATGCACGTGCAGCGTCAAAATGTCCCGCTGATTGAGATGCAGCTGGCGGAGCAGACCGGGATCGCCGCCGATATGGAGCCGCGGTGGTTGGCGATTAAAGATGAGAATGCGCGACTACGGGATATCGTGGTTCGGTTGTCGGTGGTGTCGCACAGTCGCCGGAAGAGTAAGCAAGAAATTGTGGAGGAAGAGAAGTTGCTGCGACGGCAGTCGTTGGAGCAGTTGTGTGCCACGATAAACGAAGCCAGCGAATTCGAGGAGGATGAGTTCGCTCCACTCGAGCCGCAGTGCGCCTGCAAAGAGGAGGTGGTCGCGATAGATACATGGGGCGAAACCACCGATACCGATCAGTTCTGTGACATGGAAGGGAGCTAATATACGAGTATCACAAAGCTATTTTTTGCATCTCCGCTTTTGGTTCTCATATTCTGATTCCGTTGGATTCCTTTTTAAGTAAATCACTCAAGAGGTTATCGTACGATGTGATGCATGAATATTATTAAGCATTTTCTTATTCCTGGTTGGTAAATGGAAATTGATACTGGTTTTTGTTCAATCTGTCTCACTGGCAATCCTAACGCTCGCTCGATTAGTACTTTGTATTATTAATTTTAAGCTTCATAATCTGCGTCGAAACCTGGCAGCATTGAAATAAGAAACGAGAAAACGTCGCCAGATCCGAAAATCGGATATACAGTATACAATGAGATCAATAATTATTTCACCCGAGTTTTCCGCAAGTCAAAAAAGAATGCACCTCTCCAACCGGCATTTTTTAAGGAACCATGAAGTTGTATGCACAGCACTCTCTTATTCCAGCTAGTCGCATCCCAACCACGCGTATCCTGTCGGCCGTGGGTAACCGCTCTCCACGCTGATGTTAGCGTCGTTCAACTTATAATACACTGCACCGGTAAAGAAGTACGTGTAACCATTCGTCCACGGGAGAACCGCGTCGATTTTGCTCGGCAATCCCTTCCAGTTCGTTAGGCTGCGAGGATAATGTTCGCTTTTAAGTAGCCGTATATTTGCATCCTGGCCAAACCGCCACGTTGCTTTGTTAGACGGTTCGTAGCGCCAGTAATTGTTACCTAAAGACGCCTATAGGTTATCCAATGAATTTTCGTGACTGGTGTATTTTGTCACCTTTAATAAAGTATGTGTGGTTATTGCCGTTCCACGTAAACGCTGCATCAATATTATTCGGGATTCCCGGAAATCCATCATTAATCAATTGTGGGTAATCTTTTTCCGGAACCATATTCTCGAACTTCCAGTATTTGTCATCCTAAATTCACGGGGCAGTAGTTGCGTTAATGCAGTTGTAAGCAGTGCGTAAAGTTTTCTGATACTGTACTTTGAAGAAAAACGTCGTCCCGTCGTTCCATGTAAACGCCGCATCCAGATTTCCTGGCAGATTCCACCAGTCTTCGCTAATGCGTTGCGGGTATCCGGGCATAACACCGTCCTCGTCCAGTTCATAATAAAACTCCCCTTTAAAAACGAAGGTGCGCCCGTCGGCCGTTGTTGTTGCGGCATCGATGACCGGATCTTTGCAGATATCTGTCAAGTTATCGAACCGTTAAGCGGCTTGTACGGTAGCATCACAATAAATACTAAAATTCAAAACCACTGGTACCTAATGGTGGCGGTCCATAGAGATTTTGTAGTGCTTTGATATCATCGGCAGCCAGTGCCACCTTGTCAACCCAGTGTTGGTAGAAGGGCCTCATCAGTCCTCTGGATGGAGTTCGAGGGTGCTCCAATCCCAGGGCGTGACCGAACTCGTGCGCTGCGACATACAGAAGGTTCAATCCGATCGGATCGGGCCGCTGGTTTAAGTACAATCGGTTGGGGCGCTCTGGGCGATACTGCAGTCGCAATCGCAGTTGTTCACTGGTTGACCATGTTTCGGAGTCATCAAAATGGACATCGCCGCCAAATCTGCAACCACCGATCACCACCTTCAAAAGTTATCGTGACATCTATTCATGATCGAATCCTTTTAGTCCTCTGCGTAGCAGAAGATAAGAACTACAAAACAAAATAAGCCATGATCTGGGTTATAAGATTAATAGTAAATATAGTGAGCTGCATACCATTAAATATAAAATCAGCTACCATCAAAATATGCAGGGAAATAACACTAAATTTCTAAAGGTCAACTTTGTGTCATGTCATGATTAAGTCAGTCCGTATTACTAACAGTTTTGGTTATGTATCAACTTCCTTTACATTTCGTATTTTTTTACAATATCTAACTTTGGATAAAATGCATGTGCAACCGCTCCGCCCGGCCCGTCAAAGGCTGCACTGGTGCAGTGGCTGTACTGTGCGAATCGGATGTCGATATTCGGCGGCTTATCGTTGATCGCCCGGCGGATATCGAGATCCGTGTGCTCGGTCCACACCTGCAACACACTTACGATCTTATCAAACCTGCATTTTATCATACAATCCGGTTGAACCCACCTGCCACGCGCGCGCCATCTCGTCCTCGATATCATCCAGCGGCAGCTGTTCCGTCGGCTGTGTAACAGCCCACGTAATTCTTCGTTGCAGCCACTTTCCGCGGTGGAGCGAGCGTTTACTGCGATGCCGCAACGGTTCAGTTGGAATATCGGGGACAGAACAGCGCGGAACGGTCATCATTTGCTGCGTAGCTGCGTCCATTGCGCCTATAGATGCGGTTGTATTAATCAGAGAACACACAAACGGGAAGTGCACTCTTACCAGTTACTGGAATATTAGCCAGGCGTTGGAACTGAGCTAACGCTGTGTTGAACTGTTCTTCCGTAATCATAGAAGCCGATTTATGATCCGATGACGGTAGATACCCGAATTTTTGCAAATAATCTAATGTCTACGAAAAACCGGCAAAGTTACTCTTGTAAGTGACAAAATAATTTTTCCGTTGTTACTACTCTAGCTTCTCGGCCTGCTTTTGTTTTGAGAACACGCGCAGCGGTACAGCCGTCCCCCTGAGTTTCAAGAGACAATTAAGTAAAAAAAATATCTTTAGGTCAGCCATACAACTGCGGCGCTTTCGCGCAAAATTACCACTACTTGCAACCGATGGCTGCCAGAAAATGCCGTCTGCATACCTCGCTTTCGGATATTGCGGAATGTATCGGAAATGCCATCGGGAACTTCTTTATCAACACAGACGTTGATGCCACTAGCAAGAGCACCGTCAACAATTTGTACATTATTGATTCCAGATTATGACGGTAGAAGAAGCAAAAAATCGCAGTTCGATAGAATGAACATTTTGCATTACGTCCACGGCATGTTCCACCAGTAAGAAAGATAAAAAGTAGCGTATAAGTCTGTAGTCAGATACTCAGCGATGATCAACGTGTCCGACTGACAGGCTGCTGACGACAGTACAGGTCATGAAGAGATGCGCATGCACGATAAAAGCGGTAATGTCGTAACATCGGCTGACGCTGAAGTAGCGGCAATGCTGTATCAGCCTGTGTGATAGATAGTCCACACCATAAACGTGATAAACAGAGCATCTGTATCGCTGATCAGACTACGCGGCGACAACGTCATTAGTAACTGTTTTGTGTTTTACAGTTTACATCGTCGGGCCTTTGACACACTATCTAGTAGTGCCGCTGTTGATGGCGCTATTTTTTTTCTTTGCTCTTTTTTTTACGTAAACGGAAAACCTTTTTTTTCCGACAGGTGCCTTATTAAACTTTATTTAACCAAAATTATAGCGCATTCGCCTCGTGCTCGTAGTCTAGGCACTGGCAAATGCCCTGCTGCTCGCCCTCGGCTCAAAACAAGAATGCTTGATCACCCCGAAAATATTTTTAGCTTTTTAACAGTCTTTTAACAGTCTTTTTAACAGTTTAACTGTGAGTATCGCTCGCATTAGCATAATACATGTAGTTTCTTGTGTCGATTATCGGGTCCAGTGTCATTCTGAATCCGTTACTGCTAGCCATGGCCGCGTTCAGTTCATCAGCAGTAGGTATTTCGAAATTGTTCCAAGACAATCTAGGCTCCAGTAGAAAAAGTCCCAGTTCCAGTCGGACAGCTTCCGTCCTGCCGAAGAAATACAGTGGCTTACAGATCAATCCATGCTAATTTTAAAAACCGAAGAAGATTCGCACTTACATTTTGCTAGTAAGAAGTCCATCAGTGCACGATTTCAACGTCACATTAAGGATGGCGTCGTCGATGATAACGGTGTTGATTGTGTTGAAGGCTTTTATGACTGTGTTCATTATATTCTGCCTTTGGTAATTGTTAGACTGAAATAAGACAAACTCTGTACGCTATATCCAACAAGCATTAAGCAAAAACACTATACGAGAAACTAAAAAACGTTTATCGAACATTAGACCGCTTGACTCTAAAATAAATTTGATAGTAAACTGACGTAAACTTCAAGCACGGACCTTTGCTCGACTACCGGGGTGCAAGCGCGCACAAATTTTTACATGCCATCCGACGAATTTTGAAAATTTATATACTCTAATGATATATTAGTATTTTTATAGTGAATACGTTCGCATTACACACTGTAATCAACCTACGCAAACTCCTTTTGTAATGGCGAAAGCATCGCTGCCGGCCGGCACCACGTTCACAACCATGGTGCGGCTCGTGTTAGGGCAGGAATAAAAATCAATATGGCGACAGGTGCTCAGGTTCCGCATCTCGTTGTAGGTGTACAGAGATTGCCGCTTTCCAGAGAGAGCAAATCTTGATATGAGGCGTATAGGATATCACGGCGCAGTCCGGAGATTATTTGTTGGATGCGTTCGAATAAAGGCAGAGCGGCATTCATTAGGAAAGCACCGGGAGGGGTGGAAGTGGTCACATGCACCGACAGCACCATTTCACCGGCATCCGGAGGCGCGGAAACCATGAGAGCGCTGACCGTAAATGTGATTTCATTGGCTACCGATGCGGTGGTATTACTTTCTGCAATACATTACCAACTTTTTACAGACTGTAGTGTTTTACAGCTGCGTCTAAACTTTAATAATTCTTAACTGAATGATAATACGAGTATACTTGCTACATAAATACCTTTTAATTTCTGCTGAAGTGCCCGTTCTGCGAGTTTAGCAACGGCGACCCAATAGCGCGGCGTGACGAACTCTGGCATCATGAAATTAAGCGGATAAAACGTTGAATAGGGATCAATCCGGTAGCGGTCGCCATGCAAAAACATCAGTTTGACCCCGGTTAATCCGTTTTCCTTAATCTTCGTGAAGGGATAGGGACCCTGATAGGCTTTGTTGTTGACAGTAATTATGAAGGCGACAGCCAGGTCATTATTGCTACAAAAAAATTGTCACCGAAAGAAATTTGTTGATTGTAAAAATTCTTAGATACTCGTATATATCTGTAGGTGGTTTATATTAGGGTTATTAAAGTTCGATTGAGGCTCAGTAAGTTATTACGAGTAGTTCATTGTGCGAAAACAGTTTCTCGCACTTAACGAAAACCGGGCTGAACACCTGCATGCTAACAAAACCAACAGTTGACGTAGTAAATTGATCACCTTCCCTGATAGATCCTTGATCATTGACACTGAAAGGCATACTCCTACCACGAATCGATTTATTTTTGGAAAAAAGCGAAAACAGATCTTCAAAAATTGGAGAGTATTCATAAACAAATCTCATTCCTTTCAAAAATTTCGGCACACTACCAAACAAGATATTACTAAGTTACCGAAAACAAACATGAAAATTTAAACAATTTAAAAATACTGCAAATGCCGCAGCTCTGCAGAGATCGAGACAAATTTAATATTACTGTTTAGCAAACTGCAGTAGATATTGATTATATGGAACTATTATAATTATGGAAATTAATGAAATTAGTAATTTTATTGGTTGGTTTCGCTGCGTCCTTACTATAAGCGGTATAATCTGTATGCCGGCTGATCGTGCACTATCGCCATGTACGGATAACCGAACTTAATATCGATTTGGTCGGTGCTCGTTCCGTTGTCTCCAGATGATGCGCATTGTGAAGAATTCAGAAAACCCAGCAAATAATCCCGTAGGAGCGCTGGAGCCTCGACGGGAGACATAATTTTGTGAACCTGCATCAACGCGGAAACATTGCGGATAGCCAGCGTGTAGCCGTGGAATACCGGTCCAATGTACGACAGACTCGTATAGGCTGACCAACCACGGTCGGGTGAGTATTGGTTGACTCCGGCAGCAGCAGCTGCTTTTTCCAAGTAATCTTGCATCTCTTCCAGGCTGAGTGGTACAATCGCCGGTAGCATCTTGGTACCGTTGCTTGTACGGTTCAGAACGCTGTCGTCCAGGGCCAGGGCAAAGACTACCGAGATAAGTGGCTGCCTGTACATAATAATATGGCCAAAAACATGTTAGGTTGTGCGATAGGATCTAGCTCGACAGTTTCATAAGTAATCGCATAATCGAGTTATTCCTTACTGCAAGTTTTTAGATTTTTATTGCAACCACTGAGCAAATGCACAGAAAGAAATCATAGGGCAACTGGCATTTCAACTGCTTGATATTCCTAAATCCTTCCGAAAATAAGCAATGTAACGAGAATTTAACTTGTTAAACAAACTGCCAAAATTTCATTGACCAGAAAATCACTGTTCTGGTGTATCCTGGTTCAAATACGAGTGCATTACCCAGATGCTGAAAACCAGTAGTGCTCCACCCAGTCCGTAATAACGACACGTACGGCCGATGTAGAATAATTGGCGCTTTCTGTAGAACATGCAATGCTCATTTAATTGGATTGATATACGTAATACATCTCCCTCCGTTTGTTAAATTCGAAAAAATCTAAAGAATCAATGAAAACCTCCAAAAATTACAAATTCTGTTCACTCTAGCTAACAGATTAGGCAGTCTTGAATGATAAATACAGCCCCATCAAAAAAGGGATTACATATCTACGGAATTTCTCCGTTCCCAGGAATCGGCAGCGATTGTGAAGCAATCTGAAAAATTGTTGTTTATTAATTAACTGACCTATTTGGGGTTTCCACATATCGTTGAGTTGTTGCTCCACTGACTCTGGTGTGGGACGGCGCATAAAACTGATTTCCTCCTGGATGTCCAGTAAGAAAATTTCATACATGCCCAGAGTGCCGGTGAAGTTGACCAAGGGTCGCAAATCCGGTAGCACTGCGAACATATGCCGGCTGTAGGATGTGTCAATCATGCGACGGTCGCGCGGCTGGTCAGCCCGCTGCCATCCGGATGTCTCCGTGCTATCTGATTCGCTGCATAATGCCGCATCAGCAGCGTGTTCATATGCTGCCCGATGGCGAATCACAGGTTGTGCTAAAAATAGAGAAGACTCACTTGTTAAATATCTAAACGATGATAAAGCGGCTTTTCTGTAAAGGCGTATATTTTCTGGATCAATGCATTATTAAGAATTTATGGCACGGTATTATGCAATTGTACCGGACGATTGTTCTGCACCGTCATCATATCCCTGAACAGGACTGTTCGCGCTGTTCACCAGTGCTGCATTACTGCCCCCTTCGAAGCCAATAATTAAAGCACAACATGTTACTATTAGGCACATCATTTTTTTATTTCTTAATTATCTAATAAATATTATGAAATGAAATCCTAAAACGTGAAAATAACGACAGTTTAATTCCGCTCGTGAGGCCGATGTTAACAGCTATTTTTATATGTATGTAGAGGAATGTAAAACGAAAGGTTGGTCATAAAATCTAATCAAGGGCATCGTAACATCCACAAGTTTGTTCTCAATAATATTATTGCCATTCACATTTAGCTGTGGCAGACATTTGATAAATGATAAGAAATTTCATCAGTTTCATTTGCACCCTTTTGCCATAAAGCAAGAGGATTTCTTGAAATTTGGCATGGACGTGTATTTGATTTTTCTCACAAGCCATCCCAAACCCAGAACACTATGAGTTCATAGCTGGAATACGGTGTATTTACTCAGCATTCCGCTTAGCGTTTGTGTCATAAAGCTGGAAAAATAAGAAAAACGGATTTAATATCTAACCACAATTACTCAACATCTGGTTTATTTTTCAGTCCAAGCCGGTCACATTAATTAAGTTCGGTAACAGAGTAAACCACTGAGTGCATGTACAATTAAGAAAGACAAGTAATGTTTGCGCATTTAAATAAGGAACAATCCCAACAGAAATTGGAACTAGTGGTGGGGATACTGAATAGCTGCAGAAACGAAAACCACATTTCGTAGTTTTTCGAAAGTTGTACGATTACGGTGACAGGCTTGGGGATATTTCACTGCGAATGTTGCTTCCGTTAGCGGTTAGCGTAACAGCTTCTTGTGTCGATTATCGAGTCAAGCATCATTTTAAATCCATTACTACAAAGTAGTAACAGCCGCGTTCAGTTCGACAACGGTAGGCAATTCAAAGTTGATCCCAGACTTCTCGGCACAAGAAGGAGTCAAGTTCAGCGAGCACAGAAGCTGATGATAAGAGGTGCATAAGCACGGGGCAAGCGGCAAGAAGAGCGGAAAGCGCATAGCGAGATAACGGGAGCAAGAATTAATTGGCAGGATTCCGACCAACCTGCAGCAAGTCCAATTTTAAGATGTTTCTGACCATGAGATACGGGCGGTAAGATGTGAAAAAATTAGGATTCTGATCTTCATTAACACATCTACCAACAAGCAGTAGAGAAAGGCGCCTGGTTTCAGGTTTGTGTCAACCAAAGGCCGAACATAATGAACATGGCCATACACATGTTCAGCGCGACTTAGTAACCATTGTCATCGACGACCCCGTTACTAGTGTGACGCTACGATCATGCAGAGATTAACAAGACGCACGTCATGTCACGTACGTGCGTAATACCGGCATCCGGACCCTACTGTAGGAAAATAACTAACGGCGGGTGGTCTATACGGGAGCTCAGCCGGTCGACTGCCGCGATAGTTGTATGCGTGACATCTTGAGCACATCCCAGTAAAACAAGGCTGCCGAAAATGTTCAACACGTCGGCGCGACCGAACCTAGAAAGTACACAATGGTCTACTGCGGCCCGTTATCCGCTGCCGATTTTTGTTAGTGACTATTGTACGGTGTCTCGTGCACTACATGATCCTATTTATTCATTTGCTTGCAATTTTTTCATGCGTTTCCGGCAAACCCCGTCATTTCCAGCCGTTTAGATGTGTGGCGAATGGAAACGATCGAAACTCCTACGACTTACGTTATTTACCGACCTTCTAGAAACTTTACCCCAGAATGTCTTCAAGAAGGAAAACTTTTCTGACCAGAAGTTAAGGTTTAAAATTCTAGAGCGCTTTCAAAACTAATTTCCAAATTAAATCAGCTGTTTTGTAATGTTTAATCTGCCCAAATGCTCTGTCCGTTATCCAAATGCTTTGTCCGTTTAAAAAACTTCCGCGCGTGTGACTGGCATAAATATGGTACTTACAGAAGTTACAGGTCAGCCTGATTGCCTGATTGCAAAAGTTGATACAACCGGTAGTTGGTCAGCCTGATTGCAAAAGTTGATACAACTTTTGTAACTTTCCCAGCGATGATTCTTTTGATAAAGATTGCCCATCGCCAAATACACTTCCGCATTCCAAACGCCACGATAGCGCTGGATTATCAAAGTCAGTTGTTGCTGTTTTTTAGGCATATTATTTTTTATTTTATGATTTATTATATGAGAACAAAAAATGCGCTCTCTATTGAGAGTACTTTGCTTGGTAGCCATCACGCTTGGTGATGGTAGTTGTGCACTGTTAACGAGCAGCGCTGCGCGTGGTGTTGATAACGCTGCAAACCGCCAATCTGGTAAACAAGCACTGGATGAAACAACATTTAACAAATATCGCAGCCGAAGCCCATAGCAGTTGTGTACCGAACAAAATTAAATCTCTCCGGTTTCAGTGCCACCCGTGATTCGCCACCGGACACCGTACACCGGCGCAACAGATCCGGCATTATGCAGCGTATCACGAAGTGCATCCGAGATCCATTCTGCTGACCAGCCGCGCGACAGTCGCATGATCGACACATACTACAGCCGGCATATGTCGGCGGTGCTGCCGGATATGCGTCCGCTGGTCAACTTTACCGGTACACTGGGCATGTATGAGATTTTCATAGTGAATCTCAAGGATCGGCCTGTGCAATCCCTGGACCGAAATAAATTTTGGAGCAACACCTCAACGAGATGTGGAAGCCGCAAATAGGTTAATAAAATTAATAATGACAGCAAAAACTGCTGATTGCCATTTGTGAAGCTTAAAGATTCGTGTGAAATGATCGAGTAAAAGATGTAGTGTACAAGAGTAGAAGAGTAGAAGATGTATTAACTTTTTGAACTGCAGAAAAAGCCAATTATTCCACATCCTCCGTTCGTGTCGTCATTACGGATTGTGTGGAAAATTACTGGTTTACCTCAACCGGGTAATATCACAGGTTGCGGTTATAATAGCTTGCTCAAAAGCGCAAATAAAGGAATATGGCATCACTACGAAGAAATAGTGGTGGTTTAATTATTATTCTTCAATGTTTAACAACTGTAAGCGGTTTCTCAGGCAGGTGTGCCTTCTACAGCTGTTTTTCGAATGGTCATATTCTTATTAATGGGAACCGGCTTGTAGATTCAGGCTAGCTTGCAGAGCCGGCATTTTGTTGTACAGAACGGTTCGTTACGTACATGGCTAACTTTCTTTACCGTTTGGCGTTGCAGGGATGCTCTTATCTCGATCGTCTTTGCCCTGACCCTGGATGACAGTATCCTCAACCGTACTATTAACGGTACAATGCTACCGGCGATTGAGCCGCTAAGCCTGGACCAAATGAAAGATAAAACTGACGGTCAGATAGCCAACGTGCACATTGGACCGGTTTTCCGCGGCTACACGCTGATTATTCGCAATGCCAACGTATCGTGGCTATTTTCTTTGGAATCAAGTGAATACAATACTTCCAAGGTTCTAGCGCCGGTACGCGATTATTTATTGGCGTTTCTCCGTTCTTCGTCGTGCACATCGTCCAGGGACAACGGAGGAGCCAGTGCCCAACAAATTGATATTCAGTTTGGCTATCCGTATCCGGCGGTGGTGCGTGATATGAAGGCCTCTAGATACTATCAGCTCTAGTAAGGATAAATAAGGATAAAGCAGCACACAAAATTTCCTTTATGTGATGGAATTACTGTAAACACAATTCCAATTACTGCAAAAATGCGTGATATTTATTGTATGTTACTTATTCAACATTATAATATTTCCCAGTTCAATTTCGGTTTCTAAAATTTCTCAAGCTCAGTTTGGGTTCCGTTTTCGGTTTCTGTGTACACAGTTCATAAAGTTTACGTACATGACACCGCCGGTTATCAGTCTGATACATTTTAGTGGCAACGACATTGCTGTGGCGTTCGTAATTACCGTCAACAATAAAACGTACCAAGGACCGTTTCCGTTCAAAACTATCAACGGCAATGGACTGGCGGGAGTGAAGCTTATATTTGCACACGGTGACCAGTACCGGATTGATCCCATCCCAACACTGTTCTGGGCTTACCTTATGGGATCGCAATTTGCAACGCCCCGCTATTGGACACCAACGGCAGATTACATAAAAAAAGCCCTTCAACAACCGCTTAACGGTATTGACATCTTCTTGTCATAAAATTATTTGGCATGTAATAAATGACCAGCTGTAATAAGCGTGGGAGAAATTAGTGCTGCATCCCGTAATCGGCTTTTTATGACAATATCGTCAAAAGACTTCAAATCGATCTCAAATAAGAACGTTAAAAAGGATACTATTCTTGAACTGTACAAGTACCCAGAGACCAGAGTTATTTGCTGTCCGCAGCAGACAGCACAGCCGACGCTTTGAGAGCCAGCAAGATCTCCTTCTCGGTCAACGCGTTGATGATGGAACCACCTCCGTATTGCACTGACACCATACAGCTTGCTGTGTCCTTGCATGCCGAAACCAGCAATCCAAACGGGGCTTTCCTGCTTAATGCCGCTCTGCCGTTGTTTGCCGGCATCCAACGGATCCTTTATGGCAGTCAGCTCCGCGATGAAATTAATCACCAGCTTGTATCCTCCATTGTCCCCAGAAAGCGTCTCTACACCGACGCCGAGATGCTGGATTTGGACCGATGTAAAAATGCTGATTTCTACACTTGTCCTAACAGCAAACGTTCGCTGGTAGTGAGCGTAGTGCCGATCAATACGGATCATTTCGTCGTCAGCAAAGACATTTGTGTATGTTGTTCTCTTCTAAAGATTTGTCGATAAATTCTACTCTAATACCTCTGCTACAACAATTGAAAACTTTCTTGCAGGCCAATGAATACCAACGGTATAAATTTCTGAACGCAGTCGTGTATGCCTTCAACAAAGTTAACACCGTCGTCATAAACGATGCTATCTTGAACGTGACCTTAACAACCTGCACCGATGGGCTTCTCACTAGTCGAATGTAATTAAAAGCTTTCAAGCGTTGTTAATAAAACCCTATCTTGAACTTTCTCGTCGTCTTCAGGTACGAAGCCGTCCGACTGGAATTTGGATTGTTCTTGGAAGAGCCAAAATTGTCGTGGAGCATCTTCGAGATGCCAACCGATGCCGAACTGGACGCGGCCTTCTATCCCATCAGATTTAAAGTTGCACGTGATCCAATCATTGACACTAGTAGTTATTATGACAGCCTAAACAGTACGCTGACCAAAGGATAAATCTTCCGACGCGTAAACTTTAAATTTATGGTCTGGTTTTCTTTTCTGGAGGGTTGATGACTCCCGTAAGTTGTGCAGAGAAACGTGTCAGTTGCACTCATACCGTAATTACCGGTGCAATAAATACGATTATACGCGTAATGTTGACTCACAACGTCGTCAGTAATCGTAGAGGTTTGCCCTTGCGTGCCCACACGAGACGCTGAAGAACGTACTCGTATATGTGTATCTTAATGTCTATCATCGCGCGTGGCCATCTTGACGGACACGACTGTTCGGTAGCTTCCGCCGAGCGAACCGAGGCAGTGTCTCTAACAAAGGAGGTACAAAATCTCGTATCGTACAGATACAGAAGTGAGAGAGGTAGTAAGCTGACTTAACTGGAAAACTGTTATTACCAGCAAGATCTGACAATGAGCGTTGCCCAAAGCACACGCATCTAATTTTTGGGAGGACAAAGATGCCGGGAGAACAGAAAACTGATCAGCTATGTGTGACCGTTTATGAGCAGAGATACTGCCCAGCAGCAATCCACATTCCACGTGCAAAGGTCCGCCTCTACTCTGAGTGGCTAAAGGGGAAATCGCTACAAGTGTCCTACAGCTGGTCAATTCAATTCCGGTTGTCAGCTTGCCATGCACCATTTGGACATGCGGTTTTAAAATACTTTTTCGAGTATTTTTTGTTTGTTTTCCCGACGACGGAAATGTAGTCATGTTTCACAAACGGATACGTTCCTTAATGTTGTTAATGGAAATTTCTTAAAGAAAATTGTTTTTTATGGACCGATTTGTCATGGTTTTGGTTTTTGTTCCTGAAGCACAGTAATCATACTTTACACAATCGAGCTTTACTTGGCGGAATGGAAAGTCCAGTTTCAGCAAGGACACTGTGTTCTTTAGTTTCCGAAACCATACAGCGTGTTTCATTCGCTAAAGTTCTTCTGCATAATACCATCATTAATCAAATCACATACCGGTAAATGCAATTTGCATTTTTGTCCCATCTGGAAAATTAAATTACTGTCAGCTCTATCATCAGTATGTTACCACTGATTGCATTCACCAGTGCACCGGTAATTTATTTCCGCCGCTCCCCGCTTAGCGCTAAATACTCGCTTAATACTCTGCAACTGCATCGTTTTACAAAGCCATCAAAACGTCGGCGGAAACCTGTTTTGTGTGCAACGTGAATGATGCGCAACTATGAGCCGTCTTAATACCCGACACATTAAAGCCACTTACATAATCCGACGATGATTAATGTTGTAACAGCAGGCAGCATGCATACAGTATTGCGGAGGCTGACTGGCTTTTCTAGCCCGACATGATTGTTTTGCCATGTTGACTTTGTGGGAAAAATCAGTAGCAGACGCTGCGGCGCGCGGTGAAAGTCGGTGCGGAGGGAAACAGTTCGGTCGGAGTTTTTACCTGTCATAAACGCTTTTCTGGGTTAGTCGCATGAAAACTGAGTACTTCGTTCAAAGGATGGCGCTTCCCGACAAATACACTCACCGGTTCGTATATAACATTTTTTTACTTTGTATAGTATGTCAACAACTTGTTTAGAAAAGATACAACTAACGCATTCTGATTCCCTTTTAGGCACCTGTATTTCTTCCATAAAGTTTGGGGTAAGGAGTAGTTTTGTTAGACGTTTTGAAGGAAGACACGTTTAGGCTGATGTTTTCTATAGATCTGGATCACGATGGGTGGTTGAGCGCGGAGGATTTTGATAATACAGCGGAAACACTCTCGGTACTGCAGCGTCACGGGAAATGGGAGGAAGATGTTGTGGAACGGTGGAAGCAATACCTGCGTGGGTGGTGGGATATCTTGGTGTCGGAGACACGCCCCATCGCCCTATCGACACCGGGGTTCGTTTCCGGCCCCGTGGAACATCGACGCACATCCAGCCCGGTAAAAGTTACCTATTTTCTTACGCTAACAGTTGTGCGTTACTTTCATTACCGCCCAATATTAGTGTCAATTAACTACTTGCATTTTTTGGGTGTGTGTTTGTTTCGTCAGGCTCAGGCCAGTTTCACACCATACTTCTTAATTGAATACAGTATACTGAGTTGGTTAAAAACGATTCCCCGTGCGGTTTTCAGTTCATATACCAACATTTTTGCTGCATTGTATAAACTTGTAATAAAATGACTATATTTTCATAAAAGTGCAATGTTAGCTGCTTGTTCATTGGTCCATTTTTAGCGCGGCTTCACCGACAGTTCATCCGTGGCGACCAATGACGACGAGGGCGTACGGGTGTCCTTTGAAGACTGGATGCGCTTTCTGAATAAAGTCAGCATCTTATCGGACAACTACGACCAACTACCGGACTTTCTTCGAGCCTACGCTAATCTTCTGTTTGTCCGCATGGACAGCAACAGTACGTTCAAACGCTTCTTTACAGTACTACTTGACGATCATATTGCTCTTGAATTAATTGCTTTTACAGAAGACGGACTGATCTGCGTCAAAGATTACCGGTAAATCTTGATTGATCGGCTAGTGAAAGTACTTGAAATTAAGTTTATTACCGGTATTCACTGCAGAATGTACCTGGCGCAGAGCAATATGGATATTATGCGTGCCAACGACTGCTTCGCCTTTATGCTAACGGTAAGCTTATAAAAAACGTGAATTATATTCTTATGTGTGAAATAATTTCCCAATATTTTAAGCAAAGTATATTATTAAGGAATTCTGGATTTCGTGAACAGAGTCAAGACATCCGCAACGAAAGCATCCTTACACGACAGCGCTTCGACGAGCTCTTCTTCGAATACTGGACCAACCGTGACCCCAACTGTTACGGGCAGTATCTACTAGGTCCGTATGATTCCGTGCCCTTTGACCAGCTGCTGCGCATGAGTACACCGTCCAACCGCGGCTACGCTCAGAAGGCACCCGCAGCTGTACCGATACACGCGCCGGCACGTCGCCCCGTGTACGCCACCGACCGGTTAATTTAGGTTAAGTTCTGGTGCCAATTTTGCAGTAAATTTTCCGCTGCATAATGATATTATATTTTACAGTTCGAAACTGATGTCGAATAATGATGATACCTACTTCGATGTTCTCAGTTTTGAAAAAATAGCTTTTTATTCTAAACGTTAACAAGTTCGATTTTAGTTGTACTAATTCTAGTTAAAAAGGCACATTTGGTGATGCATACAGATTATGCTACAGATTAAGCATAACATAATTATGGTTTAATTGCATGAGTATTAAAAAACATCAAAATTAGTGATACACTGAAATAATAATCATAATGTTAAAAAATTCAACGAGGATAAGAAAAACGGTGAAATAATCGTACAGAAAAATTTGCGAACAAAAATAATAAACTTGGCTTATTTGCCTGTCAGCAACTGGTGATAATGGTCCAGTTTCTCTTTAGGCAAATAATCATAGATGCCGCAAATATATCGGCCTGGCGAATTAGGATTTTTGCTGGTCCAAAAGTCGTACATAAGCTCGTAATACCGGTCACTGCTCAAAGTGCCCTTTTTCTTTTCAGCTTCCTGTATGAAAACGTACGACATTAAATTAGTGCTGAATTTCTGGTAATTATTTCGACTGATATCAGTTGCCAGGTATATTTATTACTACCACGCGTTTTGCAAGATACTGCTACTTATGTAAAATAAATAATAATTTTCTCATCAATAAAATTAATAAAAAATATGTTAACAAAAAATTTACCGTAAGCATGGAATCGAATGCCGCATCCGCTCGTCTCAGATCTCCGTTGGATGACGCTAGCAACATGCGGTAATCGCGGATATCAAACATTCCGTCTTCTGCAAGTTTTCAACCAGTTACAATATGACTTTTTGATGATACAATTTGATAATTGTATTATCAAAAGTTTGGGAAGTTATTTTGACTTACTGTTAAAATCGATGTATGTGAAGGAGATCTGTAAAGCGACCGAAAACACAGTTTATGCGCCATATTCGAAATTAAAAAATGGGGATAAATAATACATAATATCATCACCAGTCCGGCGAGGCGTGCGACTAGATGACAACACTATCGTACCTTGAGGTACATTTTGAGGAAATCAGGTAGTTCGGTATGGGATTTCGTCGTCTGGGCTAAATTGTTGAAGAAGGCCAGCCATTCCTCGAAAGTGATGGATTTGTCCTAAAGTTATTATTATTTTACTGAAGGTAAACTATTCTAGTATGAATATTTTATAAGGTATGCATCTTCAGTGATTTGAAATTATGCTATGCAAAAATAATAAATTTAAGTCTTAATTTTGCATGTGTACAGCGCGTAGCCGCAAACTGTGATTAACGACAAAAATATACAAGTGTGAAGCAATTACGTTACGGACATTTTCACATATTACTATTTTATAATATGGCAGACGGTATTGTACACACTTGATTAGCGTCAGCGGCGCCGGTAAAATTGGACCACCATCCGCCCACAATTTGTCGCCATCGATCCACGACATCTTTTTCGAATTTTCCTGCCACCAAAATATCACGTCACGACAGTTTTTATAATGCTATATGTATTTATATAAGTCTTCGTAGAGAACTTTATATGTAAAAGTATGTACATGCATACAGTTCTGTTTGCAATTTCCTGATCTGAAAATATATGAGTATAATATACGAGTAATATAATAACATCAAACACACTAACAGCAACTACAAGTACGTACATATACTTGTACAAGTACGTACATATACGATAAATAAAGTACAGTACTGTAATGTGATAGACGAAAGTCATATTAAAATTTTTAAACAAAATTACAGTGTTATTAATACTGCGGTACAAAAGCACAGTACAAGTTGTGCGGGTCATAAAAAGCCCCTACAATGCAAAAATAAGGCACAATTTATTTAGAAATATATCTAGGGCAGTATTCGTTTTTTATAATACGAATACTGCCCTACGGTTTCAAATATTATTGTCAAAATAATAAATTACTGCTAATGTAAATCTTCACTTACCATGTCTTTGATAGACCGCAAACCTTTGGGCTAACAGATCAAAATCCTCGGAACTGAGCTAGAAAGAGTTTAGATTCTCAATGTTTCGCCTTTGTCTCTTTAGCATGACTTGTGTAATTTTATTAAGCACTTTTTACACTTTTAAAAACCTACCACGCCATCGCAGTCCACATCTAAAAATAGAAAAAGACAGCATAGACATAATAATCAAACTGCTGAAATTGTGCGGGTCGTGACCTCTTTAATTCGAGCATCTACCGTCAACCTACATTACAATCTGCAAAATATTTAAATTCTTTGGAAATTAGAAGCAGTTTTGTCAATTTTCGTATGCACAGGGTAATGTGGATACATGTTAAATCATCCAATTATTGGCTAACGACAATTATACAGCTGCCGAAATTTAAAAATGGTTCAGATAGCGAAAATTGTGAGCGCTTAAAATTTTAAAATGATAAAACTAAAGAATTAGCCCAATGCAGGTCAACATAATAATTTTTCACATTTTTAGTAGTGCATAAATGAGTATTTAAATGGAATAAAATCTAATGAGCAGTGCGCACGCTGTCTGTACTGGAAAATGATTTGAAAATTTTATCAATGAAAAATTAATAGGAAACCATGGCAGCTTAATAACTTACCCCACTGCTTCAGAAAAATAAACAAATGTTTGTGACGGAAGAAATTATCGTCTGCCATATTGAATGGGGAGATACTGATGAAAAATTAGTAGTAGCCAAATAAAACACGGTATTAGTAATCCCCAAAAATAATTCCGCAAGTTATTAGCATGAAAACAGACGGAATTTCCTCTGCCTTTACCCAGTATATAATTATCTAGACCAAACAGCAAATATGCAGCATTTAAATAGCGACTGTGTGTCTGCACGTTTAAAAGCGGTGAAGATACTTCGGCTGACGCGGGAGGATGATTTCTGCGGCGGTGTTGACCGCTCTGAATGTTGTTTGTCGCCGTGGTGGTATGCTATAAATACCGGCTGACTAATATAACGCCGCTACCGTAAAATAACTAATACTCATACGGAATATTTTTATATACAAGTATCGTGCTCATCGGTCAACTGGCCGACATTCTTCCGGCTAATTTATGCAGCTCACTCATCTGATTTTCCCAACCAGTTATATGTTTCTTATTATTATAAAGACAGTTGCGTCGCATGCGCGTGAACGCCGCAATTGCGGTCATCAGCAGCTGCTGTTTAGAGCGCGCCGGGAATTATTACTCAGATTTCATTCATTCCGCCGTCATGTACAATTACGGCTACATTTGTTTACGCTTGTCGAAAGCGCGCCAATTCTTTCTTGCAGAATTCACTGGCAGTGTATTCAGCGTGCTTCAGTAATTTTTAATATTTTATTTGTTTACCATACTGCTTAATATATAATTTTTATTATTTTACTGGGCAGAATTATAACAAGCACGCTCAGTAATTTTTATGACTAGTAAATACCACACTCATTTATGTATAAATAATTTGTATTAATTTAATAAACACACATTACAAAATTATAGCAAACGTCGTGCAAAGACGTACACTGGACAAGCGTCCAATTAACAACACAAAAATTTTGAATTATAAATTAATAATGCAGTATTCACAAATAATTTACATATTAACGAGTAAACACATCAAGGCTGCGCGATACAAACGCACTGGAAAATATTCTCGACAAAAAGCCCAAACGAATAACAATTATACCCGACAAAAATCATAATTACAGGGAAACACTGGGCAATCATTAGCAATTTTAAACACGATAAATAAGCAGTTTCTGCACAATTTAATGTTAAATATTAAACAACAGTTACTGCATACGAAAACATTCCCGGCGTCCAAAAATTATGGAGGACAATTGTACATAACCGGCAGTTAGGCGTAATACAGCCCCTTCAGTTCCTTGTTGGTGCGGATGCGCTTGTTCATCACGTCCAGGTCCGGTGCCGCTGGACCGAATTTCCCGCGTTCACGGTCGCGGTTTTGCCCGGACGACACTTCGCTAACACTGTAAAAAAGCACACTCATCGTACTATGAACTTTACATAATTTATTATGTATGTTACAATTGTCGTGTCGTTTTACAATTTAACTGATTCATTCTGCTTCATTTCTGCAAAAAATTTCATTTTATTGAACTAATTCATCTTAATTAATTTCTGCAACAATTTCTTTAAATTTTTACTAAAGTGCTTATTATGTATGGATGATTTTGTTTACATACGAAATAAAATAAGAAAGAATTGAGAAGCATTAAAAAATAATTACGTATGTTATGTTACAAAGATTATTGGTAGTTCAGTATTACTAATACTGACTTTCATGGTTAGGAAAATTAAAATAAATAGCAAATATGTAGTTTAAAGGCTTAAACACTTTACACTTTTTAAAGGCTTTTTAAAGGCTTAACTGACTTTTTAAAGGCTTAAACAGCAGACTCGATTTATAATTCTCATAAAGTTTAGCGAAATAAACTTCGTGTTGCTGTAATAAAATTGCCTGGTCAAAAAGTCTCAAGAATATTAATTTTCCCCTCGACTAACCTTATAACAGTTACAGGTAAATGTAGTACAACGGCTAACGTCATAGCCCAGGTACTTTATGACACGGGCCGTCACACGGCAAACGAAAATGGTGAGTTATGTAATTCAGACAGTTATCCATTGAATCCTTTATTTTTAAGTACGCATTTTTTTCCGTACAAAATGCTTGCAAGTTGCATCTGAATCGGCATTCTGGTGTTACAGAGTGCAGTGTCGAACAAAATGTACTGAGTTTCCGTTGTTTCAACATGCATTTTAATTCAACAGAGATTAAAAAAGTTAAAATTCAAAAAAGTAGGCTTTTGTACATTCAGGCCGTACTGCTTTTTCTATTTTTATTAATAATTTTGTATTTTTCTGTTTTTTATATTATTTTGTCTGTTTTCTATTTTTTTATTTATTTATTTTTAAGAAGTTATAAATGAACTAGGGAAAAGTGCAAAACAGTTCTGAATTTTTAATTATCGCTGATTTAATACATTCTGTTTTCGCCTCGGTTGACGCTGTCAAGATATATATTTACGGAACTGACCTGTCCGAATTCATGCCGCTATCCTGCAGATGGTAGCGGGCCCGGAACGCCGCCAAATGCGCGTAGTACACCGGCGTCGGAATACTAACGCTGCGGTTGCACCGTGCAAACACAAAGGACAGATAAAAGCTGAATAGCTGGATCTGGTCCGCCGTCAGCCGGCTGTCGTCGTACAACACGTGATAGTGGGCCGGACGACTGGTGCCCTGCAGAAAAAAATCAAATACTTCAATGTCACGCGCTTAAATTCTATTAAGGATATTTTGTGGGAAAAACTGCTAATGACTGTTTCAAAAATTCCGTTTTTTTGTTTAAAATTAAAAATTTATACAAATTTAAAATTTAAAATTTAAGCAACATTAAAAAACAAATTAGAGTAATTTCATTGTGTGTGTACATTTCTTTTGAAAAATCGGAAACTGTCGTTTTATTGCCTCGCATAATTTATAAAAAATTAATATAAAATTTATAATCAAGTGGTAACTGGTCAGATCTCGTACCTGGATGCCGCCATGGCTAACCATGTAGAAATCGAATTCCTTAAAGTGCGTGATCCCGGTGTCGACTATAGTGCCTGTAAAAACATCATACAGAAACAAAAGAATCGACAACTACGAAATACATCCACTTACAAAATTAATTTTTTATAAATTTCAAAATATTTCAAAAATTAACTTCAGCAAGTAAAACTGAAAAAACAGTAGTGCACGCACCAACATATAATATAAATAAAAACATTATAATTTTATTAGCCCTAAATATATATTGTTAAGGTTTTCGTACCAGGCGGGACGTTCCCGGATTTCGTGGTAGCCTGGCGCTCATCCTCATAGAAGAGGCGGACGTGGTGACGTTTACCCACGATGATGTAGGTAATGGGCGGCGTGTACTTCCCGTCGGGCACCAGCTCGCGGCACGCCTGCTTTATGGCGTTCACCTCCCGCTCCATGACCTTTATACATCCAAACAATCGTGGTATTTTACGTGCAACTCCCGATAAAATTTCCAAAAACAAAAAAAAATATTTGTAGTAATAAATTACCAATATCCCAAATAAAAAAATTTCAATAATACAATATGTATAATAATTTAGAAATACTGCATATAAAACTGATATAAACAAAATTAATTCAAAATTGTGCTGGGATATTATTGCATGCTGTTTGCTGATAAAGAAGCATGATAAATAAAATAACAGATTTTAAAAATAGTAAATAATAATGAGACTTCTGTTACTAATTTAATATTGGCGATAATAATAGTTTAGAATATGCTAATTAAATTAACATATCTGCGTACTTGTTTGTACTGTCCTTCCGATACGCCGTCCCGGTAGAACACGATCTGCTCCGGTTCGGTCTTCGTGCGATCGTAAAACTCCTCCAGAAGGTCACGGATCATGGCAGTCAGGTTGCTGATGATTTCCTGCGTGGCCGACTTCTTTTCCGAGTTGGGATTGCGCTTGTACTGCGCGCCGACACGCTGGATGTACTTGGTGAAGGTGTTGTCGCAGCTGGCCACCACCGCGGCGATCGACGGCTTGGTCACGTCCTCACCGATGCCCGGATGCGTCACGTCCGCCCCGAAGACGATGGTCGGCTATAAAAATAATTTGTATAAATAATAATTATAATTCTACATAATTTTTCAAAGTTAAATATACTGTAATACATATATTAATATTTATTGTTTGATTGATAAAATATTAACACTAATAACTTAATCGGACCCCGCAATGCCGAAAATTTTATAATTATTATTCATAACGAAATAAAGTGGAAAAATGATTTTGTTTACTATTATCAGCAAACTTTACTCAAATCATGCTTTTTTAGTCGCTACTATTTATTTCGTAGGATACAAGCTGTTTTATGGTTTGAACGAAATCATAATTATTTGAAATAATAATAAATTTTTATAATATGATTCGATACATAGTACTAAAATATGATATTATTTTTAACATTCTTATACACTGTTTTTCATGTAACATCAGTTAAATCACGCCGATCGATGTTAAAACAGACTGTACCTTGTCCACAAAGTACGCCAGCGGAGAACTGGTGGGGCATTTATCCAGTGTGTCATTAATGCTGTTGATGCCGCCCAGCTTCGCGTTCATCTTCAGCAGAAGATTCCCGGCATACTGTGCCAGCCCTTTCTGGTGGCTGCCCATCAAATTCTTCATCAATACCACCTTCAGAACAAAACATATTTACTATACAAATAAAGCTAAAAATAACCGCGCATTACATTAAAATACGACTATACTGTAAGTATTTTCGTATGGAAAACGTAACGAAATATGCACATTTTGCGAGACATTTAATTTAAATTAAATTAATTCGGCAGAGTAATATAATTTGAATTTACAGATATTACGAACATTTCACCTAAGCAACAGACGTTGTACATATTTTATCCGAAGACATTAATTCGATGCTTTGGAATTTTTTCAGAATTAATGTACCGAAAACTGCCAGTTTTCTTTCGTTAATATTTTTTCAATGGCATTTTACTAGCCGAATAGACGAACCTGCGTGGCCACGCCCCAGTGTACATCGCCGGCTTTCTTGATGTCGGCGTACAAATTCCGCTGACCGACCAGCACCATCACCAGTTGCACGTCCTGGTCCTTCCCGCCAAAATGCCGACCGATCTCCCCGATGACCTTTATAAAATCCGGGAACGTTGAATCGGCGCGATAACGGTACGGCGGTTTGACGTTCATCCCGCGCTGACCGGCCAGCTCCGTCAGCTTGCGTAACAGGTCATCCAGAACGCGATTCTCCTGGAAGTCATCCAGCACCACCACGGCCCACGCTTCCAGCGGCATGGGGAGAACAAACTGCGTGGAGCGCGCATCCCAAGTACCTGCAGCAAAACCGATAATAAAATGTGTAAATAATTTGTTTGTGCATTTAAATTTTTAAATAGTTTACTATATAAATTATTTAAACATTTTATGTAAAGTTTACATAAAATGTTTAAATAATTTATATAAAGTTTTTAAATAAAATACAATTTATATTACTGTTTAAAATCATAGAAAATGGCTTCTCCGGTTTCATACTAAAATCATATAAAATGTCTTCCGATTTTTACTGCAGCAATTTTACTGCGAACTGATGTAGGGAAAACATCAGATAATAAAATCAATTGGAATAATCATTTAATCGACGCTTTCCCACCTAACGATCGCTGATTTAACACAGTAATTATTACGCAGTTTTTATAACTTTTTGTAAATACTGCTGTTATATTTATGGCGATTATGTGCAGCCGATGTGGGTTGCACTTTCGCTGCTTTTTTGATATACTTTATATGTAACAATTACCGGCGGTTTTTATTTGCTTGTTTTTACATTATTCGGAATTCATTAGCGAAAATACAACTGACCCGTCAAAATAGATATTTTAATAAACGAAACCATTAAACTTTCGAGCACTGCCAGTGCGTGCACATGGCACACTAATCTATACTTCGAAGTAGTTCAAATTTAAATACGACCAATGCTAAAATTTGTTTAAATCTGTAACTGTAATTAAATTTCTGTTAACTTCCATAATATTAATTTGTTTTATTTCATATTATTTCCATATTATTTTACTGTATTATTGATTTTGTTTCGTACTATTTTAATATTTTATTTTGTTCGTTTATGTATTTAATTATTGAAAATACAACTAAAGTAAAAGTATACCCTGGCTTTCATCCACACTCAGTGTCTTGTCGTTACGCTGTCCAATCTTCGGCACCGGCAGAATTCGGCCCTCCAGCGCATGCATCTTCGGCGCCACCCGGATACCAAACTGCCGCATATGCTCGCTGCCGTCATAGCCCACCGCATGCGCCCGGATATCCTGGATCTGGCGCTTGCGGATCGAGGCTAAGTAATAAAAATATTATAACAATTTATTGGGAATTATTATGCATATGATAAAATCGGAAAGCAAATTACCGGGCTTGGCGCACGCGCGCACCATCGTGGCCGTCTGCTGGTCCGACAGTTTCCGCTTGACCTTTTGCCCGTCGACTACTGTGCATAGTTCAATCGGCAGGAAGCACTTGCTGGTTGTCTGCAAATATACAATCTCAAATTATCACTGCAACCAAACTCGTGTCATTTTTTGTACCAGGAAAAGGAAAAGAAAATCGCAACGACCAGGAAATGGGCACTGTTCATTAAATCAGCGGATAAACGTAGTATGGTGGATTCTGTTAATTAATCCAGTTCATGCTCATGCTGCCATGTATCGATTTAGCAAAATGAAGTACTTCAACTTATAACTGCTTAAAACTTATGTAGTAGTATTTTTTCATGGCTTACATGTAATAGAAAAATAATGGCATGCAATCTTCATAATTTTTACATTTTTTAACCGAATTAAAGATAAAAAGGGGGAATTTAAATTAGCAAATAATTCTATATGCAACGACAATTGACTTCAGCATGACATTGGAATTTCGTTAATCCCACGAAGAAAAGGAAATAAAAAAGAATTATTTTGAAAATTTCAAATTTCCCACTGGCAACTGAAACAGTTTCCATGATTTACGTAGGGTTGTAAAAACTATAAAAAGAAAAGAAAAAAGGAAAAAATTATTCATAGGCGCTGCTACAAAATTATTGCCTCTAAAAAAATAATATTGCTAGATCGTCGTTATAAGTAATTTTGCAAAAACGACACTAGATTGTAAATTTCTATTTTATTTCATTGTTACCTTTAACATCAACCAATTTAATAAATAAAACCAAATATCATTTTCTTCACCTTTACACGTTATTAATGCTATTAATTTTTAATCTTTTTTTTATGTTGCTGCTAACCTTCTTTGGAAGATATTGCTACATCGTCGCTACAAATATTATTGCAAAAACGATACTACGTTTTATTTTTCGTCTATCATATTATTATCATCTTTAATAATTCCCTAATAATTAAATAAAAATTAAAAATAGTTTTCTTGACCTTTTAACGTTTTTATTTGTTATAAATTTTTAAACGATTTATTTTTTTATGTTGCTGCTATGCAATGCGCTTGCCTACCTCCACCATCGGCAGTCCGGGATACTTTAACCGGTAATTGTACTGCTGGGCGAAATAATCGGCCACCAGGACCTTCTCGCCCTTCATATCAAAGGCGCATTTGTCGGCCGCCTCGCGCGACAGCTTCGCGATGGTATAGTATCGCATCTTGCCCTCGACCCCGGTGTTGACTTGCAGGCCTTTGAGGTCCGCCATGGCCTGGCGGCGCTGCTGCTCGTTCATACTGGACAGCGGCGGGGCGTTCTCCCGATGACGCACAATAGCCATAATCAGATGGTGTAATGGGATGTTGGCGTAGAACACGCAGTGTGCCACGTCCAGATTCAGCGACATATGCAGCTCGCACGGCCGCGCGCTCTGCACAAACATTCTTTTGAAACAGAATTTAAATTTAAAAAAAAATTTTAAATTTATTACATTTTAATCTAAATTTAAAAAATCTAAACAATTATCTAAATGTATCGTACATTTAAGAAAATTTTTGAAGCAATCAAAAAGTAATTACTAAATTTGTATGTGTACGTACTAGCATTTCGCTAGCGGCGCTCTAAACCCACTCACATGGATCCCACTTAGCCTCTACTCTACGATGATCCTCACTTATTCAAAAAACGTCTACTCAGAAAAAGGGATAGATCGTACGCACACAGTTTATGTATCTTTTTTTAAAGAATGATTGTCCATCAAAAATATTTGATTACGCAGCCAACCATTTACCCACCAACATTTTACGTAATTTTTCTATGTACAGTTTTGTTTCGAAAAAACTAATCAATAAAGAAATAACCGCGTTAAAAATGAGTGTGTAAATTAATTTTACAGAGTTGAAACAAAAGAAAGGCTTCAATGCAGTAGCTAATATGTTGAGAAAAATAAATGTAAATGTAAATTAATTATTGAATTAAAATAATTAATTATGTATAGATTAATTAATTAATCGCAGATTAATTTAATCTGCGGTACTATTTACTTGAGATACGTACCGCATAAAAGCCCAGCCAAGCCATCCGGCCCTCTCCCAGCAAGATGGCGTTCTTGTCGTGACTGAAATACGACCGGCCGGCGGGGACGTTCTGATTGACGGACAGGGCCGCTTCCCGCAGGACGGTGTTAATGCACGAGATAACGTGCACCGGCAGCTCCGTGATACGCCCCTCCATGGCCTCCCGTAACACACCCCTGCATTAAACACGATGCCACCATGAAAACCGTGTTAGCAAAGGTCACCCGCTTCCGGCTTATGTAAACCTCTACACAGTCATCAACAACATTGTTTCGTACAACTTAAAAAGTGCACGCGTCGCTGTTGTTTTGGATGGTCGTTTTTCGAATACTAGTATTTACTATTACTACAAGCACAGGCTAAATATTTTGATTTTGAATTGTAAATTTTGTACAGCTTTCGGATTACATTTTTTTTATTAATTTTATTTCTCGCCAACGATTAAACAACAAATAGTCTAGACTCAGCCGCCTTTCGAATATTTAAAAACCTACGCATTTATGATATTGTAGCATTTACATATACGGCCAGATATAAACAACATGGTTATAAAACACTGCTCGAATTTTGTTGATAAATAATTAAGTACTACTCTGCAGATACTGTAACCGAAATTCACCTACTGATAAATTTTAGATCAACTGGTGTCAATTAAATCTGAGATACCAACGCAAAATTAATTTATTTGACTAAATAAATTAACGAAAAATCAACCCACTAAATTCAGAAAAAAGATATAGCAAATTTACTGATATTACTAAATCTAAAACCATTTTTTTCTAAATCTGAAAAACATTTTATTCAATTTGTATTAACCGCGAAACCCATACCATGAAATCTTTAGCGGATTACACTCCTGCAAGGTCACCCGCAACGTCGCGCGTCGGTACTGACCCTCCTTGGGCAGTTCCACAATCAGCTCCACATTGCGGTCTGCCCGTTTCGACGACAGCAGCGCCGGATCCTGCAGCTCCTCTACGGAGAACAGATTGCTCTCACCGTCGAACACCGGCACCTTGCCCCCGAACAACCCGCCGCGGTGCTCCTCCACCAGCCGGGTGATGGCGCGCCGCCGGGTGTCCTTCTGCACCGGCTTTCCCAGCTCCACGAGCACCCGCTCGGGGCGGTCCTCCTTCCGGTCGCCAACGCTCAGCTGGGCCAGGTCATCGGCGACGCTGCGCTGTCGGCTGCGATCACGGTCCCCGCCCCCGGTCTCCGGGACGCGCCACACCAGCGCTTCCATCTCCACGTGGTAATGGTAGAAGAAGCCCTCGGTGGGCAGCTCCAGCTTGAAGTGGTTGGCCAGGAGGCGGATGGGCCGGCCCAGTTTGCCCGCGCCTGGGCGACTGATGGAGATCATCTCCATTTTTCACGATTTCTGAAAAATGATTGGTATAAATGATCGGTATAATTTCAAAATTGTAATCGTCGGTATTTCGGTAAGACGAAAAAGTAGATATTGGGCGCACCGTGTTTTATCGTACTACGTATAACACAATATATTTTTGGCTTTTTAATTTAGACCGGAAATTTGGGGCGCATAGAATTGACCTTATTTTAATAATAGATAATTAATTTCAGGTGAAACTTTTACTTTTTCATTAATTTATTATTCACAAACGTTTTACCAAAATATAACAAAAAATTTTCTCCAAAATAAAAACTTCCGTTTTTTATTCTTCTTGGAAACTCTACCATTTTTAACAAAACTTCAAGTGCATATATACACAGTACGAGTATACAATTAAAACCTACATTAGAAAATTTTATTATCATTAACGGAGCTTTTTTTCTCGAATATTAAGCCTGCCAGCTGCTAACGAAACGCAAACAACGCAGCGAACGTAGTGTAGTGGATGCAAAATGCCAGAGTTTAGCGGATCGTGAGAGTGGTAAAAGCTTTACCAGCATATTTATGTACTTTCATAAGCAAATTTTTTCACGTAAATTTTTGTTCAATCTTTGATCAATATTACGTAAAAAAGATAGTACAAATTTGTTGAACAAAATTAGCGATCCATTATTAGAATGGTACAGAGAAAATAGGAAAGGCTTGGTACTTGGTAGGACTCTGGGTGCTTCTCGTTGCAGTTCCATCCTGAATTCTTCACGATCTCGTGGCTGTATCCCTACAACGCTCTGCTTACTGTGCTCCACCAAATGGTAGCCTTTCCTATCAAATTTTCACTTAATTAAAACTGAATGTTATTAATTTCAGTAAGATTATTTTCCAAGTATTTAATGTTCTACCATTTGGTGGAGCACAGGTTAAGCAGAGCGTTGTAGGGATACAGCCACGAGATCGTGAAGAATTCAGGATGGAACTGCAACGAGAAGCACCCAGAGTCCTACCAAGTACCAAGCCTTTCCTATCCTTTGCGCGGGCGAAAGGTACTCGCAGGAGAACCGAGAACGACGCTTGCAACCGAAGTATTTACTGTAGTCCGTATAGCTTCACTTGTTCTGTTGCTTTTCCAGGTTTCCAAGCACAGGTTATGCGCTTATTACATTGTCAGGGAGATCAAGCAAAGCAATCGACTACGAGCGCAGCTGAAAAGCGTTTGCATGGTCGAGATTTTCGAAACATCATGTATTGTACACCAGTATTCCAGTAAACGGTTAAACTTCCACCGTCGGCTAACCGTCAGAATAAAATGTTCTACATACAAGTTGATGATACAACCACAACAGCGTAATGAAAACTTTAAACTGGTAGGTTAAATGGGAAAGCAGGACGGATTACAGTGCGTAAGTAAGACTGCCACGTTGCTTCACACTAAACCGACTATGCTATTATACTGCTTACTAACATCACTTTTATCACCTACATCATCAGATCATCACCATTAACCGAAGACTAAAAAACGGAATGTCCCTTTTACGGCTTCTTCTTACCTTTGGCCAACGAATCCACGAGTCTTCTTCCTTCGTCTCCACGAGCAACGTCACCGGCCACAGGACTACACAAACAGCAAGAACCCGAAAAACGATTTGCTTGGAACTTGAAACTATCGGCAATCGAACGCCGTGCACACTGGTAGTTCGATTGGTGATGCAGAATGCAGGTGAGCTCTCCACAGATGCAAACTGCAGACTCCCGATTCCTGTGTGAGATTGTCTGCGTCACCTGCGCGTTCAAGCCGGCAAAACGACGTGATGTCACTGCAGTACTGCATCATTCGGGTGCTTGGCAACGTTAGTCACAGCGCGCTGTGTATCAGTGATGTACAGTTGTACGCTGTAATATGGCGGTGAGAAAAATTTTTACACGATTCGCTTAAACTAAAATTCCGAGTTTAAAGTTTGAACCATACAGATTCCGAGTATCGAACCATACAGCGCAGTGCAGCACAGTTGATAATGCAATTAGTACAACTCATACTAGCAAGCAAATAATCGACCGAAGCGACGCGAAGTCCTCACGTCGGTCACGCACAAAATTTAAAAAAAAAATATTTTGATTATGTAATTTCGTAAATTTTATTTGAATTAAAAACATGAATAATATATTCTGAAATCTAATTTTTAAAAATTAAAATTAATTTCAGCTGCTATTATTTAATAAATCTGGCTGCAAAGTTTGGACGTTCAACTTATTTGAACGTTTGAAGTGGGGCTTCGCTTCGGTCTTTTGGTGCCTTAATAAGTACCTCACTGTGATACATCAAAATAATTTCATACAAAAAATACCAGAGTAGCAAGTAATTCAAAGTAAATAAATACTGGCAACTTAAATAATAATACAATGTGTGTAAATTTTTGCCATATTAATAGAAACAGCATTATGAACATGCATCTGTGTCGAAATATTGTTTATATAGCTGGCTTGCTTGATTAAATAATTTGACTATTTTACTGCAGAAAGCAGAATGGATGGCAAAACTAATTACTTTTATTGAGTGTTATTTTACCGTACGGTAATTATGCAATAATTGCCTGCGCTACGATAACTGTAACGCTTGCCGGCTCTTTTACCACTGTTATTTTTCCAGTTTTTCGGCAAAAAACTGCATCGAACAGTAAAACACCATCCTGTTAAAACCGTGTCTATTCATTTTGTCCACCGTTCATTTTGTCCACCGTTCATTTTGTCCACCATTCATTTCGTCCACCATCCGCTCACAACGTGTCCCTTAATCCTTACTGGTTGTAAGAAGCCAGTTTGACTTAAGACACTAGACTGTAAGTTTGCAGTTGCAGTTCAGTGTGCGCTGTGGGCCGCATAAATCGAACTCGTTGACGCGACGTATCACGTCAAGGAATTCGATTTGCACTGCAGTACGCTTACAGTGTATACAAAACGTACGGTGGACAAAATGAATGGTGGACAAAATGAATGGTGGACAAAATGAACGGTGGACAAAATGAATGGTGGACAAAATGAATGGTGGACGAAACAATAGGAAGCCGTTAAAACGGTGTCCTGCCACTTGGGCCACCTGACATTTGGGCCACCTGACATTTTGGCCTCCTGACACTTGGGCCAACGCACATTACGGTCTCTTGTAACTCTTTTCTTTCCCTGTAGTTTTTATGTTTCTCAGTTTTCTTAGGTTTCTTAGGTTTTTAGCGCCATGTATTAATTGAAATATTGATCAAATAGAAATCTGATCCGGAAGATGTTTGATAAGTAAAAGGATGCGGAGTAAATTCAACGGCAACTGCTAACATCGTCAGTGCATGAGTTCGATTTACTTATGCTGCTACAGAGTACAATGATCGAACCCATGCAGCCCTGTGTATCCGCTATACAGTATGCCTACAAACACTCCATAATATTAATGCACGCTCGTTTTCGAATCTTGTGTACTTACTCGTACGTTTTTAATGCTGCAAGTTGCAGAACTTTTATTATTAAGCCAATATTTAATTTTTTACTTGCAGTAAAAATAAAAAAGCTATCATTCGTATCGGAAATATTTTATTACGTGTTCCTGTTTTGAAAGTATTGGTGGCCCAAATGTACGGTGGCCCAAGTGTCAGGTGGCCCAAATGTCCGGTGGCCCAAGTGTCAGGTGGCCCAAATGTCATGGCGCCGTTAAAACTATAAAGGATTCACTTGTATTATTGTATATAAACTTACTAAAGCATTCGTACTGTGTTTCCACTTTGCGCGGACTCGGAGTGTACATCACAGTACCTATAAAACTCTAAAGATGGCGCCACAGTGGGTGCTATGGAGTGTTCTATATACTGTACTGTAGCTGTACCATACTCTGTAGTGCTGACACCGGTGTAACGTTGTACTCATACATACTTACTTCCGCCCCACCGCCGTGTGCAAAGACTGCTTTACTTATTAAAACAATTCTTGGATTCCACCTGGCACTGTATGTACGTATATAAAGTACTGAGTACTAACTTGCTTTGAATTTTTATCACCTAACTGCTTGCTAGCCTCGATAGTTTTTTTTTTAATTTTTGATCCTTTCTAGCTTCGATACTTTTATTTCAACGCCGAGAGTGTACCTTACAACTGTCAGGCGAAACGCAAGGTGGGAGCCTGCAAAATTATTATTATTAGCAAATTCAGGCAAAATTTTGCTAGCGGTAACGGTTGCATTTTCATTTGCCGAAGTCCTTTGCTTTGCACGCATATTCGAGTAATCGTACTGATGTTATCTAGATTCGAGGCTCTGGCAGCGTTGGTCCACTCAATGGCTCAAAACACGATGAATGTCGGTCAGTTGGTGGGCACGGACTTCGGCGACAAGGTGACCAAGTATGCCGCAGCGATGGGAGCCACCCCGGAGGAGGTGTACGGGGTATGGATGGGTGTAGCACAGCCATTTCTCTGCGATTCCACGGTACAGGTATGAATCGTGGATGATGTTGCTCCTTTATTGTTTCATAATAACTGCAGTTGTAATGTCCGAAAGGAGATGGTGGAGATGCTGGACATTGCGTCGAATGTATGCTGCACAAATTATTCTGCATTCTCATAGGATGTCCATGTAAGGATGTCCCTAGCATAAGTGCATGTAATTAATTTATGCGATCGCATTTGGTCGCAAAAATAATTGTAATACTGTGCTTCAGCGCTTCAGTATTGCGATTATGCGCAGATTGGGTAAGTTTTCTGACATTGTGTTAAAAGGAGTGACCTAAACGGAGATCTAGCTCGATGTACGTCTGTAGAACGATTATTTACAAACCTATGTGCCCCTATGTAAAAAGTTATGAAAAAGATCGGTTTATATAATTATAATAAAAATTTCGGGGCACCACTTTGCGTTTAATCTTTTTGGGAACTACAGCAAGTTTACAAGTAACTTTATTTCGGCAACCGGATGTTGCGCTTACAAGTTGTTTTTCCCCCCAAGAACCGGAATCATTTGGTTCAGAAAGCTTAAAACAGCGCAAAAACTTATTCATGAGTGCGGGAAAGTAAATTGTCGTGTGCTAGTGCCCAAATTGGTTACATGTACCGAGTTCCTTCTCTTACCAACATCCCCGAATAAATATTTTGTAGTTACCGTGGAAAACATTACGGAGCTGTTCTGTTTAATTCGTCATTGAAATTCGCCGCAAGTTGGCAAACTGAAATCGATGTCGAAAATGCTGCATCGATGTCGAAAAATTAAATCGATGTCGAAAAAAGTCGAAGATGCTAAAAAACTTCGCCATTAAGCACTCGTAAATCATTATGGTAGTATGCAAAACAGTAGTTACAAACTTACAACATGCTACCTTTCAGGCTGGTGATCACGTGGTGAAAAACGATTTGAATATTGTCGTAGCCGACACCAGCGGTAATGCCGGCAAATGTGCCCGTCGCTTGCAGGAGATTCGCAATCAGCTCCTGGATCCACAAGAGTAAGGCATGCTTGGATACTTATACCACCCAATCAATACCAGATTAATAAGCCTGGCACTGAATTTTCCTTCCGTTTGCTATGGTTTCTTAGGGCTAAGCGACTGACAGAGCAGGATATCCAACGAGTAGTGTGCGATCCCGTAACCGGAAAGCAGGTAAAAAGCAAAAACTACTGCGAAACACAGTCATATTTTTTGTTGGAAAATAATTTGTACGACCTTTCTAGAACTCTGTATTTTTCGACATTAGGTATTTGCTCTTCGTTAACGCGAAATATGGTTAACTATTATTTCAAGCAGCTTACTTTTTTAAACGATAATATATTATTATAATAATATTCCAAATGTTCCAAACGTCAGCAAACTTTTTCTAAAGGTTAAGCTTGCAGTACTGTGTATTTTCGCTATAATACATTTTTGAAATTTCATTTTATTAATGCTTACATCTTAGACTGCCAATCTGGACGAGACCACTTCCAATGGGTTATTCGTTATGAAACCGGAAGCCGTGGTGGACGTGCTGCAGAATAAGGCGCTGGAGGGCAAATATCTGGTCATCGGCCACACGGCGGACTCGTCCGCCGCTCAAGTGTTACCGGCCAAATCCAAGGGACAGCAGAAGAAGGATGCTAAAGTCATCAAGGAAATCGAGGGTAGGTTTGCTAGGACGTTCCGTGGATTAATGGACGTACGACGACGACAGACGCAGTTCCGATTGTCGCCCGACGGTGAGAAGGCGCTCAAGGAGATTTGTTCAAAGAAGAAGTGATTTATTTTTAATGTTCGCTTCCGTTACGATGTCGCATGCCAGCAAGCAGCTTCCTGTCGTTATAAATGTTTTGCAAATATGAGACGTAATAAGAGTGTCTAATACCCATAAGTAACGCATTATGGAATATTAAAGTGAACGCTGCGGAGACTTACTAAACACAGCAACACTTTGTACTTCGTGACAAGCGCGTGAAACCAATCAAGAACTCGTTCTGGAAAAAAAGGTACGCTAAAGCCAACTCAGCGGCTGCGTCCTTGCTGTACGTTAGGTTCTTCAAAAAGAATACACTACAGTGCATTGTTTTGAATCACGGCAAGAGTTCCGAAGCATTCTCTGATCTGAGATTCCGAACTGCATGTTTATTCGTTAATTTCACATTTTCCACATTTCTCGAACCAGTGACGGAGAGATCAGTACGATAGGAATAATTACCGTAATAATCTATCCTACCGACCTACTCAACGACAGAGAATGAGCTAATAATCGCAATGTGGCATAGCTAAGTCTACGAATCTAAGCGAAGCGAGAACTGCATCTCCGACGATATTTTAATTCATAACTCCGAAACTGCCAAAACTCGTAATGAGAGAACTGATGATCCAAAGTACTGCCACTCACGGACTTATATAGACACGGCGCATCCGTGTAGAAACAACCAAAAGTAAATCCGAAAACAAAAGAGAAACGTCCAGAAAGTAGAATGTACGAGTAAAGCCGTCACTTTACGTACTGTACTGCTATATTCCGTCACCAGGATACACAAGATACAAAAAAACGTACAGTTAACGTATCGTACAAACATTAATAACTGGGAAACTATTTGCGTCCATCCTTTTGATGCTAGCAAAAAATACAAACGTAAGTTTCGTTTCTTCAGTTTGTCATAACCACAGCGACAAAACAAGACGTGACAGCTTCAAAACTAAACGAGAGACGACTAATTCCATCCTTCGCGTTATCGCAAAAATTAACACGTGGCGGAGTATCCAATCACATCTGCTGCATTACCACGTACAGCACTCGCACTTGCCCTTAACGCAGAAATTGGGGTAGGTGCACTGAGTCTTGCTGTCGCATTTATCGCCGACATTCTTTGCAGACCCGGCTTGCGTGGAAGCGACCTGCAAATAGATGGGAACTAAAACTCAGTGTAGGAAAAACAAAATTTCGTGCGTAAAAATAATTGTCGAATGAACACTAAAGTATATCCACTTGAACTGGTGAAATGGTTTACAGAAACCAATGGTTCTTGTATTACTGCAACTTACTAGAGAACACAGGACGACCACGAAGAGTAAAAACCAGCGAAGAAAACTGTTCATGGTGGAAGCAAGAACGTAAGCCGTGGAGACTACTGAGTCCACAGTTATCCTAATACAGTAATCGAAGGTAGTCGTAAACAGCAATGATCGTTAAGCGAGGTCCTTAGTTCTATATACCGCGCCTAGACCTTCTGCCCGGCTCACAAATAAGTATCCGCACTTTTGAGAAACGGGAACTTCCATTACATGCCGCTTGCGTAACCGGTTATTACTAGCTGGCGCTATTGTTTTTGTTTAAGTGTAACTGATTTTCCAGAGAGCACGATGCAACCGGCTTAACAGTTCTTTAGGTGAATCGTACTTTTTTCCGCGCTTTTCCACGCTGTTCTCATATCACATTGATAAACTTACCATAAGACTCACTGCTGAATCATGAATGAAAATAACCGTTAGCACTCAGGTCACTTTGATGTGTGGCCTTTAATTACATGCTGAATATGTTAAATGCCCGTGTTGACGAGCGCATTCTGTTGTTGTTAAGTACAATATCTTCGAACTTTTTATCGGAAGCTGTTCATTGATAGAAACACTGTTTCGCAAAGAAGGTCATTGATAATATTACCGTTTTAAACTTTCGTGGCGGCAACATTGCCGTTACAGCAACATCGGTTACGTTAGTCAATATGCTCGTTTCTGCAAGCCGAATCATGCATCAAGAACCGTACTGTAAAACTTGCTCAACATTCAGCACTGTCATGGTTGTTTTCTGGTGTGGGAACACTGGAATGATGCCTCGCGTTAATCGCCATCCGGCGTGGTACACGGTGCGGGTAGCATCCGTGTTCGTTTAACGCAATATTTGCTTTCATATAACCCAACTCACTTTTTCGATACGAGTGTGAGGAGGAGTGGCCTCCCCGCACACCCGCACTGGTGCGGGTGCTAAGTTGTTTTGCTGTATTGTGATGTAAACTTTCTTCATCTACCAGATCTTCAATCTGGTAGATTCTTCAGTTGCTAGCCATCGTCGTCTGAGTAACTTGCTGTACTTTTGGCCCCGCAGCATTCTGCTGCGGGAGCATCTGTAGTGTCATGTGAATGGGATATAAAAGTGTGCAGTTGATTGTCGGGTGTCTTGCATTTCCGCATAGCTCGTAGTATACAACACTGCTCACTCAGCAGGATAGATTCCGTTTTTGTCTCTGTCCGTGGATTCTCCGTAGATCCACCATCATACGAGTGTTATACATGTATCTTAAGTCGAGTGATCTGTATACTGTATCTATATTCATCGGCCAAAAAATTGTTGTGCGCATAACTTCCGGTTGCTGAATTATGTACTACGCCGATTAAAAATAAACACGCTGTTCAGTATGATAATATCGTCTCAAAGGTCAGGTTGCTATGCGACGCATAAGGCTGAGTACTTACCGTATGCGATCATGCTCAGGAAAATTCCTATTAAGAACCCTTCGGCCACCACAAGATCGGCTACCGTGCAAGAGGAAGAAAAACTAGGAAGCTCTTGCTTTAATTTTATTAGCATTCAAGGGACGTGCCACATGGCTGTTGCGACGATTTTGAACAATGGAGTCATTAAAACCTTACTTTTCTTTTTGTTTTTCGTCATTCGGTAATTTGATTGCCCGTACCATTCGCAGTGACACTTAATTGGACCATTATGATAGGTGACTGGGAAGACAAAAGAAACACGTACGCAAAAATAACAGAGAAACCATACCACTGATACCAGGCACACAAGTATGCATCGGAAACTTAAGCACTCAAAGAAGCTCAGTTAAACGTAGAAGACACGGAGAAATTCTCAGTGAGAAACATAAGAAATCCAAGAAAAAACGCACCGAACGCCAAAAAACAAACCTAGAAACCAAACAGATACGCAACATGTCGGTCAATGAAATAATTTCGGCAAAACTTCCGGCAGCAAAGTTGTAGAAAAGTGAAATATCGGTCAGTTTTTGTTAAGGGGTGTGCCCCGGTACATATATAGAGCCAACTTCGCGTCCATCTGCGCGAACTATCGCTGTCGCGCACTCCCCAACGCTTTTTTCTACTGCTTTATGAAATTCTGTAGCCAAAAGATTTGTATCTGTACTGTTCAACATCTAATTTAGAGTCATTTCACTAAGGTGCCTTATTAATGAGTGGCCAAGTGAAGCACTGTAGATGCATTTACTGTGAGGAAATGTATGTGTTCACAACAAGACACGACTACGAGTATGCAAATTACAAAATCAATAATATTGTATACTACGAGTATTTTTAAAAGATGAATTCTTGACTTTACACCCTAGAAATGTGATCGAGTACCGTAAATCAGATTGCATAACTGCCATTGCATTATAATACGTACATACCTTTCAACAATTTTATATGTAACGTATTTCTGTTGTTCATAGTACATATTATATATAATGTAAATACGTAATAACATAGTGTAAATACGTCCTTTTTAAACTATTTACACTATTCAAAGTGGAATGGTACGGCTAAATTTTTGGAACCAGATTGGACTCGTTGTGATACGATCCAGCTATACACCGATGCATCAGCTACCATCGGCTGTGCCGGCTGTTTTAATGGTTCATGGTTTCAGTATCGCTGGCCAGCTTATATATGGGATGCACAATTATCTATAGAGTGCCTTGAGATGATTCCCATACTTGTTGCTTTTATTAACACTATGGGGTTTAAAGTTGAGCAGGCGCAAAGTAATTTTTCACTGCGATAACCTGGGTGCTTCTCAAGCTTGGGAAAACTACAAATCCCGTAGCCGAATTGTCCTCGAAATAATGCGTCGGATGGTGGCCATCGCAGCTCAACTTAATTTTTTTATTACTATTAAGCATATATATGACAATTAACGAGTTAATTGATGTTAATGTTAGCTGGAGGACATGCGCCCCCGCTCTTTCTCCTTTCCCCACGTGTAGCAAGTTACGTGAGTCTGTTGGTGGCGCTGCGCGTCGCCGTGGCGCTTAGATCAAAGCGGCCGCCGTCTTGCACGGGTATGCTGTTTGCGCTTGGCACTGTTCGTGCGCTCGCACTGGTTTTGCATTTCTACATTGCTGTTTGTCTCTGCTCCTTCGAGTCGTGTGCGCGCGAGTGATCACTGTTCTTTTACCACCCGCCACACCCTACTGTCTTCTTCTGCTGTTATTTCGCACTTGCTCAATAAAGGGGCCTTCGGTTGCGCAGGGCACTGGTCGCTCTCTTCCGCCGACTCCGGTCGGCCGGCTTTTCGCTGACCCACGGTCACCGCACACAGCCGATCACCGAGAGCACCAGCCTCCCAGCTGCCGGGGCTCCAGCGCCCCCAGTGGAGTTCGGAAGCGGTAACATTAACTGGTATTAACAACAGCATTGCTGACTCTTTATCACGGTTTCAGATGAAGCGCTTTGCCAGCCTAGCACCAAACGCGGACTTATTACCGCTAAATGTACCGGAAAATGTACTAATCGATCTGCTCAATTATCATGCGCTTCGTCGCTAGATTTTCTTGACAGAACAGTTATTAAATTACGATTTCATCATAATATTATTGCGCTTTTTTCTAGAAAAACCTATGGAAGTGGCATGAATAAGTTTACTGAGTTCTGCAGGTTATACCAGTTATCTCCGCTAAACATATCACAGTCGACTATTTTACGTTATTTGGCTTTTCTTAGTACATATAACAATGTTGTAAACGTAAAACGTACGTAACAACAACGTAAACAACGTTTTACGTTGTTACGTTTTAAGTTGTTCATAGTATGTTACGTTTTACGTTACGTTTTACGTTGCTCATAGTACATATAAATATAATGGGAATAAGATGCACAGCATGCACTACACAATAGCGTATGAATACAGCACAAATA